ACTTATTTTTAACAGACTTCAAAAAGAAGGAGGAGACAATTTGGATGTTTATATTTTTTTTATGTGGGTATGTTCGGGCATACCTTCGTCATATATAGACGGATTTGCAAAATTCTTTTCTGCTCATACATAGCGTTGATTTTTATTATCATATATTATACAGGTTGGCTTTTATAAAGGTGCCCAAATTAACATCGGAGGTTCAGGCTCGGTAATATAATCGTTTATAAAAATAAAAACAAACTTTTTTTTTTTTAAAAAAATTGGCATTCTATTTCCTAAAAACAACAACAAACTTCTTGACAATGCGGTAGTCATTCATAAATGCGTCTACTTTTGAAACGAAATTGTGTGCGTGTTAGTTATGAATGATCGCGCGTAAAATAAATGTTGCCCATAAATCACGCACTTTCTGAGATAAGTTCAAATGAATGTAATTAATTAATTATGAGTGATTTTAAATATTTATCATTTTTATATAACTTTATTTATGTTTAAAATTTAATAAAACGCATACTCACCATGTCCACGCATGTCCACCAAACCACTACATCTCACCACCCATCAAAAACGGTCCACCCACTAAGACGAATCAAACTCGACGCAGTTATGTTATTTAATTACTGAGTTCCTATGGCCACATGCCAGCTCTGTCATCAGACCCTGGTTACCATCTAGCACCAAAGAACTCGTCATGACGAATCAAACGAGCCGAGACGCAATAGGGTTGCGTCGTTTCTTTACTGAATTCATATGACTATCTTCCAGCTCCATCATCGGATCAGACCCTGGTAACCATCTAAAAATTAAGAAATCGCCAAGACGAATCAAACGAACCGAATCTCGATGGGGTTGAGTCGTTGCATTACGGAGTAGTCATAGGAACGTCACAGAATAGCCTCATAGATCGGCGTAAAGTACTTCTGCGATTTGTCTGGTGAGTACCTCACTCAAGAGATGCATTTTGCTCCGGCTCTGGCTACCTAGCCGGAGCCCACTTTATTATAAGGAGAAAACGCATCTGCAACCCTATGCATATGTCCATGGACGGGTGAAGATGGAGCTCCATCATCAGATCGTGGTTACCAATGAAAGACAAACTACTCATTAATACGATTCAAATGTACCCGTTGAGGCTCTGTCGTTTGATTTCGAAGTTCCTCTGGCCTTCTTCCAGCTCCATCATCAGATCAGCACCATGTCACAAAAATATTGGATTGTCGCGATTTACACATGTATACAAAATTGTAGCTCAACCAGTAACCGGGAAGTAGATCAAATTTAATTTGCAAGATTTGATTTGATGATTTAACATTACAATTTTTTTTTTGATAAACATTGCCCTCACTTTAGGATAACATTATCCTGTATTGTAAGGACGTTTTACAAACATAAATTGCACGAGGACAAACATCCAGATGCGAAACAACTATCTGTGGACAGCACACATAGTTGTCCCGTGTGGGAATCGAACCCACGACCCCCGACGCCGAAGCCAAAATCTTGGCCAACTGCGCCACGGAGTCATCAAAATATTGTAAAAATGTTCATAAAATTAAAACAACTTGGCAAAACTATGGTAAATTTTTATGGGACCAAATGGCAACTATTCTGCATCAAACTAAAGAAGAATCACGGAAATCGTATCAAATCTCAACGTAATCGGTGTACATACATCGAAAAAAATATACCAATCAAATTGAAAATTGGTTAAAAATATTATATTATTTTAATTAAATATTGAAGAAATAGTAGAGAACAAAAACATCATTTACAGAATATCAATTATATAATTATATAATTAGAATATCATTTATATAAAAACATATTTTATACAATTTTAATTAGTGGTCCACCTAGGTCCTGGACCCAGCCCAGGGGGGGCCCTGGATCCGCCCTTGCCCGGAAAGACCTGCTTTCGTGGGACAGCAAAGACTGTTCCGTGGCCCTACCACAGTTGTGTTGTTTGGTTTATTGATTTATTGTTGTGGCTACTTTTTTTCTAGCTCTATAACTGTTCAGTGAGGAAATGCAGCAAAGAATATCAGTGTTCTTCGTCCACGCGACATGTCGCGTGGGCCAGATTTGTTAGATAACATGTAATTAAGCTATTATATTTTGTTGTTAATAAACTTATTTAAACCATGTCCAAAGGGTATCAAGGCATAGTCGACCACGCGACCACATTGCGGTCTTCACATATTTTCGAAATACTTTTTTTTGTCATTATTTCGAAAATATGCAGGTTTCCTCATGGTTTTTTCCTTTACCGCTGAACACGTAATAAGACAGCACTTAAAATTAATAATTTCATTGGTGCCGGCACCGGGGATCATGGCTCATGTTGCTGGAGTAAATTGAATTAAAGGCGAGTGCTCGGACACTGCGCAATCAGGGCTTAACGATTGGAAACGCATCTGTTATTCTGTCAAGCATTGAAGGTGGCCATGGTCGGCAGTAATCACTTAACATCAAGTGTCTGCTCGCTTCCCGTTTTATTTTTAGAAACATTTTGTATTGTAATTTTACAAAGTAACCAAAAATTTGTACATTTATAATTAAATGTTAGTTTTACCAAGGTGGCCAGGCGCCAACGTTCGAGCGAGCGAATAGAATCTTTCAATATAAATGCTATTAAAGCCATTATGGAGCCTGTGCATAAATTGCGCAAAATAGAACAAAATTGCTAAGAAATGATTAAGGAAACTATACTTAACCATATCATTATTGGTTGCGGAATAATTTGCACCGCGAAATGTTCGATAGAGATGTGAAGACATCATTAATATCGATACAAATAAAACTCATAATTACGAACCACCGTGGAGAGAGTCAACTTAGTATAATTTAACAAATATTTTTGTTTATTCGGTTTTATTGATATACCTATATGATTAATTAAAAATTTAATATCATGCTTTTGTTCACATATTATTCGGATTGAAGTCGCCACCCAAATTTTTATCGATATCGTTTGTTTGCAGTTGCAGCGACTCTAAGCATAAGGTAATTATTTGGCGGCAAAAAAGTAGAGGTGGGGTCTGGATTGGACGGGCCCGACAAACTGAGAGTAAAAGCCGCGTTATTGCATCAGGCATGAGCGAATAGAGCTGTCGTTTGCATCAGAAACTTGTGTTCTGTGAAGTGTATGCATGGTAAATTATTTAAGATTATTAAAAAAAAAACACGAATGCGACTTCTGTATTTTTTATAAATACTTAACAACGAAGCCGTATATTGTAAACTAATGTCTACAATACTGCAATACTTAATAAAATATTATATCATGTTTTCTGTTTTAAGAAATCACTAAGCTTTGTTTTGGATCAAGATCACATGTACATTTCTTTTCATAGGGTGCTATGAACTTTATCAGTACACTTCTGCACATAGAACGTGTTCGTTCAATAGAATTCCGCGAAAAGTCTGTTTCTAATAATCTGTTTATTTATCTTATCCCAATTCGTTAACTCAATGTTTATGATAACATTTCCTAAATTTAAATACACATTTGTCATACACAATTAAATTGTAATCTGAAATTATAAAAACTTTTCACTTTTAGGTAGTGTATTAGTAAAACGCTTCAAATTAAATAAATATGCATAATGCGTAATGCACGTACTCGGTCAGTAAACAATTGCATTTGTTGTATAAAACACGTGTTGGTAACGCAAAGTTACGAATTTCATAATTCATAGAATTATGATAACTCGCATTGTGACATTTGGTAAAATTTTATCAGCATTCGACAACATGGAGAACGAACCGTTTATTGCTCTAACAGTTACGAAAAAATAAAAGCTTCCTTAAGAGTCGAACTAAAGGAGGCTTTTATTTTTGTTTCGTGTCAGTCTGTGGGGGAGGCTACGTCCAACAGTAGACTGAAACGGGCTTAAATGATGACGATGATGATGATAAAAGAAGAACGAAAAATTTACGTCTTTTACTTCCGTTCAAAACGCTACTGGTTATAGGTATAGACGGTTCTAAATTATTTTTGATTTGATTTTTTCGGTATATTTAAATAATTTTTGAAGCTGTGTGGGTTTAAAACTTTTTCAATTGTTTATCAACCAAATCTTTTTCTTTTCTTTGATTGCTATTGATGATCTTCAGTTTTATCAATAAAAAAATAGTAACGTGAATATTTTCAAAAATCTTATTCAGTTTTCGTTTTAAAAGAATACTATTTTAATTAGTAATTGAACTATATTGAACGGATGGAATGTTTCGTAAAGTAAACGAAAAAGTAGTTGAAAAATGAAAATCCTATTTGTAATTTTTAGTTTGATCAAATTATCAAAAAATATTAAAGTTTAATTTCGAGAAACGGGAAAGATTACACTTCTTAGAACTCTCTTAATTGACCCGGACTGGTTTTAAAACAATCATGAATTGTATAAAGTTTTTAAGGAATTCAAGTACGCATATCATAAAAATACTACTTCCACCTAATTTCAGTAATTATTGATAACTCACAACCAATTATGGAAACATTAAGCCTCGGTGGTGGAATCACTGTCTATGTTTGATATAATTATGGTATATGACTATATGTGTTACCACCTGTCACGGTAAGTTAGTACTTACCGTGACAGGTGGTAATAATATAATCTCTGAAACCTTATACTAATTATACGCTTTATCTCACCGGCGTAATGGTTAAAGAGAAAAGAGAGTTTTGTGTCCAAAAAAGTTGCGAATATTGGTTCCTACAAAGTACAGTACAAGTAACAAGATCACTGCCATTGAAATGACAGTTTCAAATAAATGAGTTTTTTGTATACAAATAAAACCACGTCAAAGTAATAACGTTGTGTCTGTGGTCTGTTGTGGCTTATTTACTTTTAAATTGCAGTATCAGGCACATCGCGAACTCATATCGCGAAGGGTTGTAGGAGGCGACGCGCGTGGTTTTGCGTTCATCCGGTGATATTGCGCGGGAAAAGTTCTCTTTTTTATAATAGTGACTGAAAAGTTACAGGTGGGATAGCACGATGGCTACGCTGTTAAGGAAAATGTGGAAAACCCACTCTAAGCATAAGAGTGAGTAAAAGTTATTTTTATAAAAAAAAAGAAATTGTATTACGTTTAGTATGCCCAGAAGTTTTCATTATAAGCTGTATATTTTATGTATTATGTACTATCAAACAACATGTATAAGGTACTAATGGAATAAAATAAAAATATTATTAACTACATTTTATGGGTGACACTTCAATATATAAAGTATAAGCAGCACATTAAAATAATTTTAACCAATCAACTAAAATCCTACAGTATAATTATTTCATCTTTTTTAATTAAATAGAATGAAAAAAAAAATACAAAACCAAATATGATCTATGATTCCTTTTAATGTTTTTAAATTTTAACATTGAAAGCCTACATTATTTTGTTTTTTATAGGTATCAAATTTAATGAGCATTGTCAATCAGTGAATATAAGTGTATTTGAAAATAAAGGTGTTCTTCCGAATCGTTACATATTGTATATTACTCGTGTTTTGTATTTCTTATTTTGTTCGGACATATAAATAGTGTTCAATATTAAAATACCATTATAAGTTTTAGATATATAGAAATATCTCTATATTAGTAGTGCGAGTCAAATGATTACGAATGAGATATTTGGTGTTTCGTAAATCACTTTTTACACACAATTTAATTTAGTTTAGATTTTATTTTAATTATCTAAATTAGGTAAGGTAAAAAAATTAATGAAAGCAGCATTATACATATATGTCCGTATAATTTGTTCAGTTCCAACTAATTAATAAAACTCCATTGCTATTCCATTGCTAAATAAACGGCATTTGTAAAAAAAATCTGTGCTGCGGCAGCTTTTCTAAGACTCCATTAAAGTTTCCAAGTTCGGAGGCAGTCGCATTCGAAAGGCGACGTCCATACCAACGCGAGTGCAGTTTTCTCTCCAATTACGTTGGAATTGGGAGCTCTCGCTGGCTCAGACTTAAATGGCTGATCTGTTGTCGGGAAAAAACTCGCTATATCTGTTAACGAAAGAGGGCGGCTACTGGTAGCATAGCAGGAACTATGGAATGATAAACAAGTCTTTTACGTGTTAGTAACGGACTTATTGGCCTATATGTTTGCCGCTATCGATTATAAATGGCAATACTGTTGAGTCTTTTTTTAAGTTGAAATCGCCATAATACTTTTTAGGGACGTAATTGTTAGGATCTGTGTCATTATGAAGAAATATGTATTTATCCTTAAAAATAATTAATTCTCAGGTTTTTTATCTGTATTTTGCAATTAGAGTAAAATATTTTTTTTATTTACAAATGTTTGATACTTATTGTTTTCTAAATAAATAACAGAAATGACGGCTGCTCGGCCTTGGTAGATAACTTGTATTGAATTTTAGGTCGAAGTCCAGTATAATTGTAGTGTCGCAGTACATTATAAAGTAACAAACTTAGTGATAGCCTAGTTGCTGCATTTCATTCAAATGCTAAAATCAATGAATAATTTATTTCATAGATAATTTTATTTGAAGCGCCTAAGTACAATTCTTTTCAATTTTTAAAATTAACCATTCCCTTAGTTCGATTGAAGCCGGTGTTATAATTTTTGATTGTCATTTTAGTAATTTTAATATTCATCTGTGGTGACATAATGACAAATACAATATTTTTTATTATAAACTAGCTGATCCCGTCGAGGCTACGCTGTTGCTTTTTGTTCGTTTTCGTTGGAGCTTCGGAATAAAGCCCAAATGTTTTAACAAAGATAATTATATTTGGCGATTTATTTACTTTAGATCCTCTAACGCCACCCTGACCGTGACTCAGTGTCTAAAGAAGTAGCATCCCAAACGGGTGCTTTATATCTCTCATAAGTGATCAAAGTAAAGCCGCCGAGGAAATGAAATCGTGAAAATGCCACAGGGCTTTAAAATTGCTGGAAATTTCATGGAAAGAAGAGATCTAGGGATGACGTCGAACAAGGAATCGTGGCGGCAATAGCAGCCACCCCTTTTTTATGACATGTTTATATGCTTATATATATTGTATATTGTCAATACATGTGAATAATTAATTTAATTATTGCACCCACCACGCTCCGGGTTGACTGGGAGACAATGCCAAAAGGCATTAAGTTCACCCTTTGTAATCCTTGCTTAAAGTAAAAAATAAAGAATAAATAAATTTCTAGTTTTTCTAGTTAAAAGTAGTTTTTACTAGCTGTCTTTGTTAAAACTAGATTTTATTAGGTATACCTAACTAGGATTTACTTCATTTAAAAATTTAAATTTTAGTTAAAACTAGTTCTAACCTTGAACCTTAGTTAAAACTAGTATTAGAGAAACTTATTTGGAATTGAAAACATGGATATTGTTAATATATTTATTAATAATTCTTGGTTAATGTTTAACAAAACCAATCGTCTTTCATCAACTTTGCTGAGGATCATTAATACATTACAATAATTTCGTGGCAAAAATATTATTTTTTTGTAGAAAAAAAAAAAATTCGTACTTTTTGTAGAAATTTTAATATTTCATTTTATGTGCCGAATAGCACTACAAAAAAATAATTTATCATAGTATTTATTATTTTTAAAGCATTTTTAAGACCATATTTAACTCTTACATCCTTAATCAGGGGCAAATTCGAAGAAATAAGTGCTACTCGCGGCTATATAGTAAAAATCGCTTTGTATGGTAACTTTTAAATACCAGAATGAAGTGCCCAATTTTTCATTAATTGATCAACCATTTGATCAACATTAACATATTGTTATATTTTTGCCTTCCATCCATGAGGCCAAAGTTTTTTCTTTGTCTTAATTATCCCTTTCAACAGTACTTTTGGTTTGATTGTATTCCGTGAACCAGTTTACACTCAGATCAAAATGGGCCAGTCTCATTTTTATCAAAATTAACAATTTCCCTGCTATTTTCTGGATTAAAAATGCAACATTGTCCACGGTTGATACAGTTCTTTAACTGAATCATTTCGACAAAACGCGTTTTGTCTAGTTGGAACTAGTTTTCACTGGTTTTTATTGATGCCGGCATCGGGGATTGAACTCAGGTTGCTGATGTTGAAGAGCTATCACGGCTTCACTTTTCAGATGTTCAGTTAGAAATTAAAACGTGGGATTTTTTTTAAATCTTAACAGTTGCACACCTGCAGCACATTGAATGCAATGCCGTTTGACAACGGTAGTGTCATCCAATCGGCCATCTATAAATAATTCATATCCACTTCAGAGAAACTCGACATCGTGACAACCGTGTTTTTTTCACGGTCGATAAAAGCTCGCTAACTGAACGATGGATCGCTTTGCCGTCGCGTTGGCGCGTGCGTTCATGTTTTTCTACTTATTGTTGCAGCTCTGTCATGGCTAAGGTTTTGTTAGCGACAAAATAAATATGGATTGATATTTCATATGATCTATATTTCACATAGAATTATTAACGTTAAAAAGCAATATAAATTCTCTTCTGTTTTTCATTTCATTTCAAACGTTTCAATTTATCGATCGTTAAGTTGCTGTACTGCGTGGAGTTGATTCGCATCAAGAATATTAGCATCACAATAAACAATTATTGCGATGCAGGTTATTGTTTCAGCTTTAGACTAGAGAAGAATGTGAAAGAAAACTTAAATTAAACTGGGAAATACGTTTTATTATTAAATGGCGGAAGCGGTTACTTTTTTTTCAAACATAATTTACGCAATAAAAGTTGCCTGTCATCAAACAAAGACTTCTGATAGACACGAGAAGCGATGCAACTAATAACAGATTTGAACTTTGTGCACTTAAATGTGGGTATATGCAAACAAAGACATTAATAATTATTCATCGCATTTCCTCGCTTATCCGTTGAATGAACTATTGCGACATCAGCCATATCAGAGCTGGCTTTGACGTTCGAAGTAGGAATTAATTCAAACAACAATGCTATTTTAAACCATATTTATATTGTCATTTTATAATTGAACGCTCTCTGTTGTTTCGTTTTTTTGATTGATGAAAATATAGATGAAATACAGTTTAATTTTACACATTAAAGAAAAACGTAGGCCTAATTTTTCCTATTTTTTTGGAGAATAGCTGATTTTTCTAAGTTTAAGATTTACTTTTTTGACTAGGCCCGATTAGGTATACACTACCAAGAAACACGGGATTGGTATTAAAAATACATAATCGTTTAAACGACAGGCACACTCTGTCCACAATTTGGGACAGACCGTAGTAACGGCTTGGTGCTAGTAATCGTTTGAACTCGAGTGTCTTATTGCGCCTAATATGGTGACCCCTGGCCCAGTTGCGCTATCATGACCGTCTGGCCTAGATAACCGCTTATCAATACAATAAATGTCTAACTGACGCCAGATGAATGGCCTGTTTGCAAACATTTCGATATGTTATTATTCTTTGACGTTTAAACTGTTCATTGGGTGAAAGGGCTGAGAGGTGGGCAGCGGAAGAGACGGTTTAGATTTCTAAAGAGCTTTAAAGACCGTATAAGTATTTTGAAACATCTATGAAAACTTTGCCCATACGTATGTATATAAAAATGCAACACTAAATAGTTCATGATTATTCCGCTATATTTCTATGCACATCTACCACATATATACTTATAAATATTAAATAGATTGCAAACATGTATTTAATATGTACAGCAAAGAGCGGAGCCCGTCTTTTCGTCCGTATACAATATGGGTGTCTTTACGAGAAGACTGAATAGGCTTTTACTAAGATAATTCATATACCATTTTAGGCTACGTAAATGCTTACTCTCAATCTTATTAAAAACAACTCAATTTTGGCTACTAAGTTTATGATTTGATCATAGTTATAGATATATAGATAAAAATTATCGATATTTTCTAGGTTATAACAGTGTGATAACAGTAACACAGTTATAGATTCATTCTGTTCCCTTCTTTAAACATGAATATTCCTTGAGCTCTGGCTTTTCTAGAAACCACAATTGCGCTACCGCAGAGGCTATTTATTTTCCGACGCTGGCAATTTATAGAAGCCGAAGATAATTATTAAATTAATGTCCCGAGACATAATTAAACGGTTGACAGGATAGGAGCATACACGTTGTGATTAAGCTTATCGCCACAACTGGTCGTTCACATGAAGCTGTTAGTCATTAGCTTGCTACGTTTTATTCTTCGCGATGTGCACTCCAGATGTATTTATAAATATTATCAGCTTAAGAATACGTCTGTCACTTCCTTGTAAATATTCTTTCTATAAGAGAAACATTTATGTCTTATACAATTAAGCATGTCGCTTGTTAGCGGGGGTCGATATTTGTTTAGCACGGCATGAGAGACATATATTATACGACGTCGAAAAACGATTTGAAAAAATCTTACTTCGAATAAAAATGATTTTGATTTTTTTTTGATTTGTACATGTACATGTAAACATGATATATTTTGCAGCAGGTGGACTTTAATGGACGGACTTTGAAGTTGACCTTCAATGTGTTAATTCTGTTAAGATTAAATAAATAATTGCGTACACGTAACATAATGCCACCTATTTAATTTTTTTGATAAATTCATTTGTGATTCTTAAACAGAACTGTCTTGGTCGATTATTATCTACACCCTCACAAAACCAAATCCAAACTATCCCTAATGTGAACACAGTAAACTATCAATCATTGTTTGCGTTTCATCGAGCCTATTTCTTCCTAAGCTGGACGTGTGGTAGAGCAAGAAAGGTTAAAAATAGGATTTTCACTTGCAATGCTTGCTTTTATTTACAAATAATTCATAGGTTCATATTGCATTTCTGCTTTAAGACATTCTCCACCGATATTTAAATCATCTGGCGAAATATATAAAAGTTTGTGTGTACTTATGTACGCACGTAAGAAGTTATACTTCTTTGGCGTAACAAAAGAAAAACAAGTTGAATAATAAAATCAAAACATCGTTTCAAAAATTAACCTTTGTAAAACACTTAACTCGATTTTATATAGATATGATATACTTATGCAAATGTTCAAAAGTAGAGCAAAATAATGAAAGCGCCATCTACATTCTTTATTGAAAACTGTAACGGGTGAATCTGATTGAGAATATGCCGCCATCTATAAAAATTAGCGGGCAGCTTCAAAGGTGTGACTTTTGCGTTACATCTTAAAATTTACTCTCATCATTTTTTCATAACGCGCGTAAAGAAGTATAATTTCAAAAACAGCTGGTGATGGGAAAGGTTATCATTATAGTTGGCATTCAATTACCAAAATCTGTTCCGCGACCATGGCCTCTGCAGAGTTCAAAACATCAGTAAAATAATAATAATTTGTTCATGATAAAATTTTAAATATAGCTTTAATACGAAAGCATTCAGTTTAGCAGTGTTCGCTGTGCCGTTTCTCTGGTGCTTGTGAGCACGAATTAATTGAAAGCTTTTTTATAGCTATATTAACTAAGTAAATGGTGCCCGCGACTTCGTCTGCGCAGTATTAGTGCTTTGAGTAGCTTATTTTCGTCTCTAAGGCCGTATCTATCTTTATACTATAATTCATTGGCTTTGCGGTTTAATCGTGAAGGCGTAACAGACAGACAGAGTTACGTTAAGAGATCCTTGTGTCTTTATAAATAGCGTATGCATTATTTTGATGTATAAGCTAAGTATATATTAACTGTCGTAGGACCACCCAGCAGCCTGGGCTGTTGCACAAATGGGCAGGCTCGTCCGGGTAAGTACCATGACCTCACAGAAGACCGGCGTCAAGTGAAAGTCAAATAAGTATTATACTTCCACTTGACGCCGGTCTTTCGCGTTTCGTCTGGCGGGTGAGGTAGCCGGAGCCCAATTTTCAAAACTATGTCAACGCATCTGTAACCCTCGGGTGCAGCAGATGTCCATGAGCGGCGGTATTCACTTAACACCAGGTGAACCACTGGCTCGCTTGGCGACTTGTCACATAAAAAAATGGTGAATGTGATGCTAAGTACGAATGGTGAGTTTTCAGAACTCTGCGAGGAGTGGGCACTGGCGGAGTGCGAAGGCGAAGGCTGGTGGCGTGAGGCGCGTGACGGGAGCGGACACAGTGAGGTGCGATACGCGGGCGCGTCGCCCGTGGAGCGAGCCGCTTCCGCCCCCGCTACCGCACTCGCTGTTCGCTCCACACTGCACACCGTTAAATGTGAGCAGAAGTCTTAAAATTGTCTTTTTTTATAGAACTGATATTTATATTTATTGATGAGTTTTAGTTAAGAGTTTTAATTCATATTTACATTTTCAGTAATACAGTTTTTCATTTCATAATAGCATTAAAAAAACAGTTAGAAATGAAAATAATAAATGATAATTAAGAACTTTGAAAACAATAAATGTGGTCAAACATTCCGCTTGGCGTGTAAGCTTTTATGGATATGTTAAAATAATAGATAACGAAAAACACAAACCGATTTTTTCGTTTCACTCGTTGATGTCTTTTCAGTCTCTGGTCTCAGATGTGTAAATAGCTCTTCCTGAATCTCATTTTTATAAAATAGAGGCTTACTCTTTAACGCTGTTTGTTTTTAAACCCATGACTTCATCACCGTTTATAATCGCCTTTTCTATGGGCTCAAAGTATTAGTTAAACAATTCCTCCTACGCCCTCAACAAGAAACGCAAGCTTTCTCTACAAGCCATAGAATGTCAATGGCGCGCAGCTTGGTGTTTAAACAATCTCTCTCGATGATTATTTCTTTCACCGCCATGCACGTGATAAGTTAGCACTTTAAATTGCAATTAACAATTTCGTTGCTAGTAAACTAAATTAACAGCGCTCGAACACTGAGCTATTACTGACTATGACAAAATACATTTAATATAAATGTATGTTGTGAACGAACGATTATTTCTGTTGCAGCTTTTGCTGCACCTACCTCATGGTATCAATGAGCTCTCACCACATTCTGTTTATGGCTCATTATGACTGGTAGAGAATGCCTTGTTTAATTGATTTTGATTTTGAATTGATTTATTCTCGTAATTATTCCAAACTTTCGCTATGATATTTTTTAGTATGTACGGGTTATGAGTGCACAATTGCCATAGTCAGGGGATTAAACATCGTAATCGTATTTGTGTTAAGTTTCTTATGTCGATGAATAAATGATTTGGATTTTTGTGTTTTCAGCTTCAAACAAAAAACTGCAGAGGGTGAGTCTCGATATCAGTCCGAAGGGCATTTTGGTCACAGACGTCGACACACAGGAGAGTGTGCTTAGTGTATCTATATACAGGTAAGAAAATTGTTGCAAGTAGTCAATCTATATTATTTATAGTCTGTTGCGTTATATTGTTACTGTACTGATACTCAGTGATTCACACTATTAAAGAAGCCTTGTTGTTGATTGGTCATGTCGTCGAGTACTCATTTAGTACTCCTTTATCATAATTAATATATTATGTAAGAAAAACATTTAAAAAATCAACTGCGTCGAGAAGGTTTCACTAACTTGAAGAATCAAGTAGTATATTCACAAACAGTTGTAGCTACTATACGGAAAAGAACCAGTAAATATCCCCGATGGTAAAATTATGATAAAGAAACGTTCTAGATATTCATTAGAAATTGATTTACATAGTGCATCATTATCTTTTTCCCGTTATAAAGTCAGTGACATATCGCATTGACTTTATGTTAACATAACATTATTTATTATTATATTAATATCACCCGCCGAGCGCTTCTTTTATGGACTGTGATATAATTGTATTAGTAATATAAAAATAATTAATTTATTAATATTTTATTCGGTTTTCCGTACAGCTTGGTGACGTTTTACGTGTTTCAGTATTGGATTAGTTGCAAAAATTTTAAATAACAAAAATATTGTTATATACATAACAAGTACGGACTTTTTATTATTGAGGAACAAAGTCGTTTTTATCATTTTATATTAAAGCACCTTGAACTGACAATCTTGCGGTCTTACAGTTCAACAAACATTCACTATGTCTTAATTAATAAAAACTAAGAACTAACAATAAAGTCCAATTATCCTTTCGATTACAAGGTCAAAGATAAGAGTGTGAGTGAGCTTTTACCATCTACATACAAATATATAATCGTAACTGGTAAAGACATTAAGATAAGTGGATATACCACTTTAAAATAAGAAGATATACACAGATCACAAAGTGGGCTAATAGTTAATCAAGTTGGACGAACTCACATAAGACCGCCGTGAAGTGGAAGTGTTTTACTTCTGCGTTTCGTCTGGCGAGTGAGGTAGCCGGGTCGCACTTTATCAAAAAAAAGTTGCAAATGTCCATGGGCGACGGTAATCACGAAGTATCATATTAGCTGAAACGCCAGTTAGTTTGTCACATTGTCACAATTAAAAAAAAACCCGCTATGATGAACGCTGAGCCAGATGTTTGATGTAACGTTTGTCATGCCGAGCAGGATATCATACTGCTCGGCCGACGCGGCGAACGCGCGCGTATTCGCCGTGGTGGAAGGCAAGAGCGCCAGCGGGGCGGATGAGAGTCACGTGGTGCATGTGTTTGTGTGCGCGCGCCGCAAGCAGGCGAGGGCGCTCGCCTTGTCTCTAGCGCACGCCTTCAACGACGCATACCAGGTAAAGAAAGAACCGTTTCGATTACAGCGATAAAGTTGCCGCTTTCGCTATCAGCCGCGACCTTTTCCCTTTTCTCCATAAAAAAAGAAAAACTTTTTTTGGTCCTTCACTGTATACTTTGGAATTAATGATGTTTAAGAAACGATTTAAAATTTCGAATGTTTTTGTTTTTTTTTTTCAGGCATGGCAAGCAAACCAAGGCAGCTCCCTGCAATCCAATGGAAAACGACTAGCACCCTGGGTGAGATTAAAATTTTATATATATTTTTTATTGATTCACTCCTCTCTATAATATATATATATTGTTCCGGATCACTGTTGGGTTTTTGATTTGAGTTTTTGTAATATCTAATTAACTTTATTGATTTTTTTCTCTAGCATAAAAGGTGTAAAGTTTATTTTTTATAGCTAAAATAATATTGATGCAGAATAAAGTGGTCAATGAATTTTATAAATCTTGGATTCCTTTTATCATAAAGTTCGTTTTGTTATTTAGTTTATTTTACACCACATAATCACAGATAACATTAAGTTAAAATTTGAGTTGAGTTCAAACCAGATTGAGGATAGTATAAGGTTGAAGATGTGTCGCGTCACTCTCGTGTTGACCACGGGAAGAGCTCGAAGAATCGTTTAATACCTGCTGTTGAATTTCGCCACCGTGCAATTTTTATTTGAAAAGTTGTCAAGCGAGCAGACGGTTCACCTGATGTTAAGTGAATACCGCCGCCCATGGACATCTGCTACACCTGAGAGTTCCAGATGCGTTGATAACCTTTTGAAAATTGGGCTCCGGTCACCTCATATGAACTTGCCGTCTTCCTTAAAAAATATTATCTCTTGTTAGTTTTTAGGGTTCCGTATGCAAAGGGAATTCTCATGAACCATGACAGTACTAAAAAACAGAATAAAAAAAAACATTTAATTCGGCCTCCCCTACAACAGACATATGATTTTTTTTGCCGGTTTTATAAGACATACTGGTAAGGAGCCCTTTGTACGCGAGTCCGACTCGCACTTGGCCGGTTTTCTTTCATTTATTTCTACTACATACTTTTTTTAATCGTTAATCGTTTGCGTATCCAGGTTCGATTCCCCGAAGAGTCCGATGAGGAAACTGACAGCGAGCATTGGCAGTCTCCCGCTCCTCTTGTCACCTTCGCCTAGGCTTAGTTTATTTCATTTGTAATAAGTTTTACGACTAACTAGCATCCCGCCCCGACTTCGCACGGGTGCAATGTAGATATTGAATTTCGCAGCTTTTCTCTACTACAATATGCATGTTTACTACAATAAGCTTTACTCTTCAATCACTATCTATTGCTGAGAATCGCATTAAAATCCGGTGAGAAATTTAAGAGATCTAAGCGTACAAACATCGGGAGCCACTTTGTTTTATACTACGTAAAGTAGAAATTTGACGTGTGACTTTTTCAAAAATCATTTGGGACTTTTTGGAGAGTGAAAAACTTTATACGTGTTAGGTAAAGTATTTATTTTATGTATATCAAGCCGGTAATTATCGGGCGAGAGATATGAAATTAAGATTGAATATTTTTATTACAAAAGTTACAAACTTGCGAAATACTAATATCATATTTTGTAATTAAATAAGTTTACATATGAAGCATAAATATTTATTTGACTAAAATAATACATAACATACCTATCCCGTTGCATGGCAAGGTTTTTTGCGTTCAACTATTTCAAATTTATTTAATTAAAATAATCTTAGATATAGATAAGCTTAAAAGTTCTTTTAAAATGTTTAAATCTAACATTAATACTCAGATATACTTTGCATGAATTATGAAATTATTATTATAAAGAAGAAAATATAAACACAATGTAACTTGACTAGAAATTAATTACAAAATAAATTTGAAGTACAATTCTTATGGTAATGGTCTTATATAAGAAGTTTAAATGTAAGTTTTTAAAGTTAATAAAATAACATTTTTTTAAACTATGTTATAAAATTGTTATTTTGTTGTTATCTATTATTGGCCGTTAGTTCATCATCATAAAAATATTCCATGATAACAAAACTACAAAAATTAATTGAAAATAGAACTGAAATTATATTGTAGATTAAAGATTAAATGATGAATTAACTTGGAAAGTAATAATACTTTTGTCTGACTATAATATATATCATATTATAGTCAGACAATATATAGTATGTAAGAAATATATAGTATCATTTTAATATTGTTAACAATTAATTAATGTGATAAGCGTGTCTGATACAAAATAAGCTGAAATAAACTTATAGTTTCGCATATTGTTATTTGATTATTTTATCTATATATTTCCCTATGACAATCTATATATTAGTGATACAGATTGGCGCAAGCATTAAATACTTATTATAAAAATTGCAAACCAATCTTTTTTGCTTATTAGTATTTTTTTATTTTGCCTTTACAAAGTAAATAACTGAAAGTAGACAGTTGGGGAAAAATAATGGTATTTCAAAAAGTAAGGTCAAAATTAATATTTAATTGCAACTGATATGGTAGCATTACGTGAACCTGTTGCAAATCGTAATATGAAATTTGTATTACATTATCATTTTCTACAACTTAAAAAAATGCTTGGTAGGTCTACTATTAGAAAGAGAAGCACGTACCGTCTTCACTGCTTTTTAAATTTTCTTGTATAATATAGTATTAAAACTTAAATGGATTTTTAGTTTAGATTAGATTTGTTTAGAGTTACAGTCCCAGATCATCCCGAGGAATAGGAGGCGACTGATTATGGGCTTGATTATTAGTAAGATAAAGATTTTAGATTATTTCTAGTTTCAATATATAGTAGTAATAGATACATAGTTTTAGTATAATTGAACCTACCTTAGAATCTATTTATGTAAGGTATATGATTCTTGTCTTGTCTACAGGCTAAACTCTTAATGCTATTTCAGCTAAAGTCGACACTGTTGGTACAGCTCCAATCGTCTTCGGCCTAGCCCTGTTAGGTGCAGAGGCTCCGTGCAAGCGCCTCCTCCGTGATGGTTAATCATCATGTAATCGAAGCAGTTCGTAACGCCATCTCTATTGCAATCCTGGAAACATTTCCCATAATACAAACGACTTGTACCACTTACTATGGTATATGATTCCGTAGCGAAGGTGCTAGGGAATTGGCTTCGGCGTCGGGGATCGTGGTTACGATTCTCACAGGGGACAATTGTTTTTGTGACCCACAGATAATTGTTTCGCACTTACCTAAGTGTTATAGTAAAGTTAATTAGTTTTTAAGGCCATATAGCTCGTAGAACTGAACCATTCGGGAAGAAAGGTTCTCGAGTGGCAGCCTCGTACTGGCCATCGCAGTGTTGGACGACCCCCCAATAGATGGAGTGACGACCTGTGTAAGTGTGCGGGAAGAAGATGGATGCAGGTGGCTCGGGAACGGGCTTCGTGCTTCTGTGGGGGAGGCCATGTTCAGCGGTGGACTCAAACTGGCTGAAATGATGATGATGATGAAAAGTGTTTGATAAATAAAAGTCATGACGTATACCTTTCCAAATTTCGCCATATAACTTTCGACTATTTTCACCGAACAGTGGTAGTCCCTGGCGCAGTCTTCAAAAGCTGCAATAAAAATATAATATTCGGTAATAACTAACAAAATTAATTTTGTTCAAGTAAGCCCTGCAAGTAACATGTGTTTTTATTGTAGTAGCGAAACGGTGAATTAATTATTTTTGTCAGCGATGTAACAATGACCGACTCTTTTAAAGGATGAAAATAAAACTTTTAACATAAAATAACGAAAAACAGAGTTACTTAGTACGTAATAATAACGTTCCGAAACAATAAAATCAAATTTTTAGTACGATTTATGAGGTAAGTCGTACAGATTTGCCTAATACGTCGTTCATAAAAGGATAAACGTTAATAATGTGAATTGGAATATTTAGCATATTCTCAAAATATTCCGTGTATTCGTCTTATGCGTTAAAACGGTTAAATAAAGGAGGATAACTGAGTCTGCCCTAAAATACAAAATATTTTTAAGTAGTCCTTATTAAACAAAACGGGATATTTAGTAAATAGAATTAATGAAACTGTAGTTTATGATTCAAAAATATGTTATATAAAAATATTAGGCATCAAGTATGTTAACTTCTAATTTATTCGTAACTTGTATGCGCCTGACATAACCAATCGGCATATTCTTGTTTTATGCTAAGAAATATCAAATTCATATTGACATAACTTTTTCTAAACGCGCCAAAAGAATGATAACTTCAAAAACTAGATAAAGATTTTCTGTCCTTTAAAATGTTAATTAACATGGTTGAGGCATACCATCATATAAATGTGCTAATCCTTTTTGTCTATTAACCTTACCTTCTTTTCTCTCCGGATTATCTTCAGGCAGACTCGGTTTCCCGGCATCGACCCAATACACCCTGGATATGTAGAAAGGTCCGCAGTAGCCCTGAGTGCATCCATGCGACAAATCGCAACCGGCCACATAGCAAAGGCATCTGATGCAGGTGTCGTTCAGGTTGGAGATTCGAATACCTTATCAGAAAATAGAGAATAGGTGGTCTTGTGTTCGAAATTCAAGACAAAATATTAGGATAATATTTAGGATATGCATATATACTAGCCGGCGCAGGCTTTGCAATGGTGCAATGTAGATAGATACTAGTGTGGGGCAGTGTGGAGTGATTAATAATATTATGATTATGATTACTCGATACTACAGAGTACAAGATATCTTTATATACAATCTTGACAACTTTTTTTTCATGAGACAGTGCACACATGTTTTCTTTAGAGGTTACTCTCAAAAGTGCGACCGCTGGCGACCGGGATGGACGTATGGCCCGCTTTAAATCTCTGATATCATCTAAGACATTCATTTTAATGATATGCTGTAAAGGATAATTTTGGTCTGGAGGATTTATACTGTATTTTTTAAATAGCTTCGTTAATATATATTTTTTTGTAATATGTAAAAGTTAAAAATGGTCACTGTGGGTCACCATTAGAAATTAAACATTAGGGACTCGTTTTAAGATATACAGTTCCGTAGTACATTCATTTGATTTATCTCGTAAGGGTTAGCAAGCGTTTGAAATGTAAGCGCACAAAAATATGTTTCAATTTCATGGCTTTACTCGACTACAATATGCATGTCTACTATATGTAAATCTTCCTTTTGAATCACTCTATTTATTGCTGAAAACTGCATTAAAATGCGTTTCGTAGTTTAAAAGATTTTAGCGTACAAACGTCGGTAGCGAATTAGTTTTGTACTATATAAAGATATTTTAGGCTGTGCATCAATATCTTAAAAAATTATATATTACGAAGAGTTTTGCATACTTGTGACGCATACCTCTGGTGTGCTTGAAAAATTATACTTTGTGGCCTGCCAAGGCCCAGGGAAGGAACATGACCTTTTGTTGGTATCGGGGGGAAATCTTCAAAAGATACCCTATAATAATCATATCGTAAGATTCGTACCAGTTCATACCAGTTCGTACAGCTCGAGGCCAATTCGTGCTGCTGATAATCCGTGTCCCCTATTAGTCGCCTTTTACGACAGGCAGGGAATACTTTAGCTCTATTCTATGAGCCCGACACTACAGGGCTGAGGCCCAGGGAAGGAACATGGCGTACCAAAAGAACAACACGATGTGTATACTCTACTATTATACTTTTGGGTTTCGCCTGTAAAGTGAGGTAACCGGGTTCCACTGGTTTTGGTATTTCCATGGTATTTTCATGGTGGGCCACTCATCGAACCCAGGTGTTGTATATTTGACATATAGGGTGGGGGTAATCATTTAACATCACGTCAATCACGTGCTCTTTTGCAAAGTTTTCACATAAAAAAATCATTCATCAGATTTCTGCTTAGTAGAAATTAAAGCATTATTGAAATCAACTCGTGTTCTGAAATTTACGGAAACGACATGAATTGTTCTACTTTTATTGTTGACACAGCTCCGGCACACTTTACTGTATAAATTAGCATTAATAGATGACCTTAGTGCGTCCGTGCGGACAGTCCTTTGGCAGATCTACATCCTGGATAGAACTAACGCATAGTTATAGAAACAGGGCGGTAATTTCTATGTGCAGATTAGGATTTAGTGTATACGTGCACTAAATATTGGCTTAAATATGCAAAAAAAATTTAATGAACATTTTCATTTGGATATAGTATGCCTGTACAAAATATTGGCATCAATATATGCAAAAAAAAAATTGTAAACATTTTCAATATAATAAACAAATGGAGCTAAAACATTTGTCACTAGTTTATAATATTTTATGGTAGCATATAAGCATTGTAGGTAGTATGTAAGCATTATAAAGTTGTTTAAATCAACGGAATATGTTAAATTACAAAAAGTAAAAAAACAAAGACACGGAACAGGACAGACAAACGTTGCGGTGATTTCTTCACTTAAGAAATTCGAAAACTAAGAGATTTCAGTTACTGTGCAGTGAATTCACGAAATTGAATTAGATTAGGAAACCGTGATATAACAAGGATATAAAGCGTATAAATCGACATAAAACGTAACATAAAAGAGGAGAAAATTATCAGATAACTTTTTTTCAATTTTGTGTAATAAAGAGTTATAGATCATTAACTTCAACAATTCAATGAAAGCGCATCAACAATTATCTTATATGGAGATTTTAAGTATATAATTTAGATTTTTATCGTAAAAAGAACAAGTTAAAGAATCTTATTAAACTTTAAACTGAATAATGTTTATATACTTATATTTATGAATATGCGATTGTCCTCGCATTTTTAAACAAATTCACAATAATAAAGTCATTTAACCATTAAGTTACATACCCGTGACCAAAGTAAGCCAACAGAACACTGTCAAAAGTAACAAATATTTGTTGTTTGCCATTACGAAACACATCAAAATCGCACAACCGAACACACGAACCGCAACAAACTAATCGAAGACACTTAAAGGATTAAAAGACGCTGCATTAATTGAACCGTGATGACATAATGCTACGAAACGGACTGATGTCTTGAGTAATGCTCAAAAAAACTCATTAGCATCGGCAGTGCGTTCTCAGAAGCAAGACGTAAAAACACAATTGTAATGAACAGATTGAAGCGTTCGACGTCACTGATACCGATCACGGATTAAGCTCCATTTAAGTAAGTGGCCTCAACTCAAATGAGAAGTTTGAATAAGTCACTTAAAGTCGCGGTTATGTATAATAAATAATAAAAGATAATAAACTAAAAACGAACAACCAGACATAGTCTGGGTGTTAGATTTTTAAGTTTCAATTTTTAATACTTACGCTGTGCGTATGCTAGAACGTCCTGAATTTCCTCGGAATTTTCCTTGTCCAGATTCGTCATTATTTTAAGGTTAGCTAAGAGTAGATGGAGAGCAATCACCTGGATCTTTAGGCATTCACACAGTCTATACACATTGTGACTTTAATAGTATTATTGGGTTAACATTACTTTTTTTTAAATAGGATAAGATAACTGCGAGTATGTGAAAAGGTTCTCGAGTGGCAGTCTCGTACTGGCCATCGCGGTGTAGGACGACCCCCTATTCTATGGTGTGACGACCTGTGCAAGTGGGCGGGAAGTTGATGGATGCAGGAGTCTGTGGCAAACAGGCTGAAATGATGATGATGATGTATGTTTGTGTGCTGCATGTTTTTAAATTAAATTACACTAATCAATTCTGCAATCTAATCTCCACTCAGTACAACATAAACTGACAAGCCCCACTTTTATTTGCGTGGATGCAAACTAGATCTCCTTTAGATATCCTGGTAATGATAAACATTGGCGTACAGTTTTCACTTGTATGACTGCTTTTCTTATATAGGTGATAGACGACGCGTAAGTAGATAAAATTTATATTTATTAAATAAATTCGCTTTAAACAGCGTACAATAAGCTGCTACAATATGTGTGTGGAGCTATTGAAATAAAAAGTGTTGAACACTTTTATTTCAATAGGAATTTATGAAGTTATACTTTTATTGTGGCGTTTGGAAAAAATTGTGAGAGTAAAATTTTTTATGATGCGCGCGCTTAATAGCCTAAAAGCGGTTACAAAGCGACTAACCTCGACAACTTTACGGTATTATTACTATGGCAACCAATAACAGCTTTTTGATATTATTAATCTATAACTCCAAGTAATAATTTAATTAAACCGTTATCAATTGAGCTGAGGACCGATGGAGAGTAAAGGTTCTCGAGTGGAGATCACGAACCGGAAGACGTAGCGTTGGAAGGCCACCCTTCGCGTGGACCGACGACATCGTAAGAGTCGCGGGCAACCGGTGGACGCAAATGGCAAAGTGTCGTTATATGTAGCGTTCTAAGGCGGAGGCCTATGTTCACATTCTTGTATCTTGTATTAACTGATGTTTTTGCTTCCAGTCCCGAGACTATTAAAGCTTCATCGGACGCAAATGTTCACATTACATAAGTGGCACCTTACGAACGTATATTGATAATTTTTGATGTAAAATTTGACGATTCATAAGAGCGCGCAAGCGTCTATTTGAATAAATATATTTTTGATTTTGATGTTTGATGAGTACAACAGTTTTTTTCCATAATTTTTGGACATATTTTACGTAGGGGTTATTGTATTTTTTTTTAATTTTGGAATTTTGTCAATTATAACCCATCCGTCAGCGCAGGTGTCGGGGAATTGGACTCCACGATACGGGATTGTCTCAAGGGGCGTACCGTCCCCCCGGTAAATGTGGCCTAATATCAGCTCGGACAGTATAGCGATGGCGCGGTTACGTTATCATACATGATGGTCGAAAGCGCCCTTGGTGTTAGCATGAGCGGATCCCATAACTCCTTCACTCCAATATGATTGACCAGTCATAGGACTCTGGAGGTCGCCCATGCAAAGGAGCGAATCCGGTGTTTGCGGGAAAAATAACTTTGGTAGTGACCCTACGTTTTCATGCATCGAAAGGTTCGTCTAGTCACGTTATGTCTTGAGACTTGTAACTATGTCACTTTTAGTATGTAACTAGCCTTGTTATAGGTGTATTATGGTAATAGGCCTGTAGTCAATTATCTTAATAGTGATGTTTTTAAAAGAAGAAAAATAGCCTCTTTTAAGTATCTGAATTTTATTTAAAAAATTATTAATCTTATATATATATATATGCATTATTAAATATTTTAGACAAAATATTATATGTATATGTATGGTGGTACGTTTGTTGATATCGTTTTTTCTGCTCAGTTATTTTTTACTCCCTTAATTAAAGTTTCCCAAATTCTATTTATTAACTTTATTTTTTATAAATAAAGCAACCATGATTGTTTATTGTTCAATTAAGTATTAATTAAGAAAGATTAAGTTTATAATACAACATTTCATAATTAAATGTAAAATTTTAAAAGTGCTCCACACCATCCTCTCATGATTTTGCTACGATCCGACCTGATGGGTCAAAAGTCACAAAAGAGACAAAAGTCTTATGTACGCAATTATTTGTTTTTACGAATATCTCCATAATAATATGACACTGATTAAAAATAATATAATGTTGTTTACATGCTTCAATAACATTTCGGAAATATACATGACAGCCTAATTGGATATTCAAAGGTTTTTATGAATAAATCTTTATATTGAATGATGAAAAATATGTAACTTGAAAAGTATCAACAAAAGTCGCGCATTTTGTGGAGAGTGCACGGTTGCTGGCAACAGGTCTCGACCAAATTAACGTCATAGTCTCTCTTCAGCCGCTGTGATTTTTTAGGGACGTACCACCCCTTCTTAGACATTAAGTCGCTGCTCTCGTCACCTGGAAATGATAGGATAGAAGAAAGATAATAGGTAGGACGAAGAACAAAATAATGTAGGTAGCAAAGTCTACTAGGTCATGCGATATTTATTGAACTACACAATTAATTGAAGATTGGAAATGCTCTGTGGTTTTAACTAAGTAAAAAGTAATTCACTTCACGCTAAGGTCGAGAGGTAGATTGACATTAAGTCACTCTTCCTGCCGTTGGGGTGTGTTGGAGGAACACAAGACTAGGATGTCCACTAGGGGTGCATTGCTAGCTCTCTAGCTCCATGGCTTCAGCGCAGCGGTCTTGCTGTGCAAAAAGCAACCACCAGCCAGCGTCCGTCTTTCCGTCCGATTACAACGTAGGCGTCTTCAAGGCAAGAGTGAATAGGTTTCTACTGAGCTAGCGCGCTTACCATCAAAGGCTGCATCGCCGCTTACCATCAGGTAGGGTGGCAGTCAAGTGCTGGCCAGTTCGAAATAAAAAAAATGAAAAAAAGGTCGAGTAGGAAGGTACGCCATGTTAGAGCGCGCCTTACCTGGATCCAAAACGGGTGGCTCTCCGATGAGGTACCGCGGAGGCGGCCAGCGCTGGCTGGGGCGCGGATGTGTGCGAAAGCGTTCCCGGGATATGCGCCCTAGGTGGAACATCGTGGGGTTTGTAGTCGGTTCGGGTCCGACATAACCTTTTTGCTCATTGTGGGCTATCGCCCTCTCGTGGGTGGATATGATTAGGCATTACCCCCACGTATGTAAAAAAAAACTGACTTAAAAATGATCGCATTTATGCAGTCATTACACATTATTACATGTAACTATAGTTTGATAGAAAAAACAAGTATGCATAGCCGACGTTTCAAATACTAATTTTCAAATAATCTCGCGGAAGTAGTCCAACCAAAAACATTGTCTATAAAGTCCGTTAAAAAAGTTTAATTTAATTAATTTATTATTAATGTTCTGTAAAGCCCTGAAGTCTCAAAGCCTACTCAAGAATATAATACCTTTAGTTATTAATTTTACACTAATTTCCATGTTATAACACATTAAATTTATCATTTAAATCATAAAATTTTCTGTATATTACATTTCAAATTGGTAGAGCAAAAATTATTAAGTTTAACCTTATATTAATATCTGTGGAGTTCAGACATGTATATAGATGTCTAAACTCCAATTTTAACTGCAAATTAGTGTAAGAAGTCGTTGTAACATGTAAGTTAATGTCTTTATCAATGGTCTTGTGATTCGAATCCCAGATGTGTTGCTATCGAATTGTAAATATTTGTACTATAAGTATTTGTACTATGAGTACTATGAGTAATATGAGTATTTGTACTTATTATATTTTAGTAAATCCTTACTAATATTATAAAGGCCAAAGTTTGTATGTATGGATGGATGTTTGTTACTCTTTCACGCAAATACTACTGAATGGATTTTAATGAAACTTTACAATAATATAGCTTATACATCAGAAAAAAGACATAATTTATATACACATTATATGTATATCTGTCTTTTGTTTGAATGTTACACCTTCAGCCTATTCTACGTAGACGTAGTCGCGGGCAGCAGCTAGTTAATCATAAAAGGACAAATTATTAAAAAGAGGACGAAGGTTCGATTTTTGTCTTTAGTAATATTTAAATTCAAACCTTTTTTACTGTATTTTTTTAGCATATCAAGTTCTTCCGCGACGTTTCTTTCAGTTTCGCTGCAAACAAGTTCCAACGCCCTCTTGAGCTTTTTCCCACAAAACTGCAATACTTTGGAGCGGTGCGGTAGTCCAGTGGTGTGTATTGTCAACAACGCCACCAGTACTAAAACACAGATTACGTTTTTCATATTTTCTGAAAGAGGAAATGCTTATTTATTTTTGTTGTATATTATTAAAACGCTTATTTATTTTTGATTTTTGTGACCTTTCTGATTAAAATAAAATAAAATAAAATGACAATAAATAAAATATTTGTAATTTTATTGAAGTTACAGTTCTTATAGCGCGTTTAGAAAAAATATAGGCATCTTCTATATCTCATCTTTCTTAAAAAGCGACATACGAAGTTCGTTGCAAAGCGACCAACTTCGACCTATTTCACGGTATTACCATCGCGACCAATAACAACTTTTTGAAATTTACCTATTATTCCTAGTTATTTAATTAAGCCGTTATCAATTTCATTTAATGTCTTTTTCACAAACAAATAGTACTAGCACAGGTGATTAGTTATTTTTCTTTTGATACGCTAAAGGAGTGTAATTTCTTCATACATACACATGAATTTAACACACACGTTTTTTATTTTTGTAAAAAGTTTTCATATATATACTTTTAAAGATGAGGAAATTATTTCTCATTAGTTTTTGGTGTTGCAAAATAAAGATTGATTTACTAACTGACATAATATTCTTGCGTACTATAATTTTCTCAACAGTATGTTCACAACAGTAGGTATATAGTACACATTACGATTAGCAATCCTAGGCCGCCCACATTGGCAACGCGTCGGCCCCACCCTTACATATTATGATTAGCTTATTTAAAATTTGTCACCGGTGGTTTGCGTGATGTTTAGTGATTACCGCTGCCCATCACCCATGTGTCAACGATTTCAACAAGTTCAAATTCCACAGCAGGTCGCAGTGGTAAACTTTTAGACTTTTATTGCGGAGTATTTCACTCGTATCTCCAGGTGTATGCAAGTGTAGTACTGTCACTTCATATGAATGCTCCGAACTAATCACCTATCGTTCAGTAATAAAGTAACATTTTTAAACAACAATTTGCTATAGGAACAGCTAATCAGATAAAAATAAGTATTGAAATTGAAACGGATACGAATTTTAGTGACCTTAAAGTTTGCACTTGGCATTTTGCGTATGTCCCTTGTACGCCAAATGCCAAGTGAGAAATGAAATCTAAAATTTAACAATTCAATTCTACAGTCAAACAAATAAATCACAACACAGTGCCCTTGCGGTATCCCGTCTAATATCAATTAGAGTAATGTCATAATCAAAGGTCAAAGCCATAACATTACGAATTATCTTTTTTTAAAATATGACAAAGAACAACAAATATTAAATAAAATGAGAATTTAAACGCATTAATAGTAGTGGTACAACGTACTGAATCTAATTAACATATAACATTATAGAAATTTAAATTGTTTATAGTGTTAATCTTTGCACATATTTTAATATAACATTATCTTTTAATCTAATAAATAAATAAACACCTTTGTACACACCGTCACAGTAATCGATTCTTCTACATATTTTATATATAACATCTTTACATATATTTTAATAAATTATAATCGATTGATTTGGTGCAAATTACTAAACAAGAATTTAAACAAAAATTTCATTGTAGTTACAAAATAATTGGTGAACGATTCCACAATTACGAAAAAATGCTTACCCAAAAATTGTTCCGTGTCTATGAATGTTTATGACCAAGTAGTAATAGATATATTACGTTCCAAACTTTAATTCAGGGCGTCACAAAAACAGGAAAGGGTTTCAGATGGCTGACTTAATGCCGTTCACGGATAGACACGTCAGACCTACTGAAACCACAACTGATACTAGCACATGAGTGCTCCACAGGATGTTTTTAAACGTGTAATAAAACACACCAATGTTTTAGTTATCTATAATAGACTGTTTTTCAATGGTTAAACTATCAATAGAGAATTATAAGTACTCCGTCCGGTTGATATCTCCGAAGATAGGGAACCGCGAGTTAGATCAATGATGAGAAAAAAAGACTGTCCTAGTTTTTGTTAATGTTCTAATATTTTACATGACATTTGTTTTTTTTTGACGGACGGAAAATTGTTGACAAATTCTATAAGTGTTTTGTTAAAGAACTGGACCATAATTATGTACACTAGTTAAAGCAAGGTACGGTAAGTTGCCCCTCTAACCGGGTTCTCGCCTTGTCGTGGCGGATGGGCTTAGTTGGCGAGGCTTGGTCACCCGGGGTGAAGCCAAGAGGAACTCACACTGGGTCAGCCTGTGCTGCAAGTGGTGTAGTGGCCCTAGTGGAGAGGACTAGCTCACTGAGCCCACTCTCGGTGCGTACTTACTATGCGTAGAATCCGCTGTTCTCCCCATCCTCCGCCGCCGAAACGTGGTAACCGGTGGCGTCACTAAACAGGTCTGCCACTGGGTGCTGAAGGCTTGCTTATTAGCACTGGCTCTCCTGGCTCCCGTCTACTCTGGTCAGCCAACTCGGGGCCGTGAAAAAGGGGCCGAGTAGGAAGGCGCGCTGAATGTTCCAGGGTGTCTGGAGTTGCTCTCCGATAAGTGGCGGGCTGCTGAGGCGTTCAGAGCAAAAGTGTGCGGAAGCGTTCCCGTGGCTCTGACGATATCCGCCTAGGTGGAACATCCGTTCGACTTAACCCGTACTTGCCCCCGCGAGGGCAGCTATGCGTAGGCATTTTCCCCTCGTTATAAAAAAGGTATGGTGAGTTGAAATATAAGGATATATAAGGGATAGTAGTTGTTTAACATGAGTGTTTGTTTTTTTATAAATTTAAGATAACATCGATCCTTCAACTGGAATAGATTATAATTCATCGGCGAAAAAAGTATAATCGTATTATTTATTTGATTTTTTTTTCCTTTATTTTTCTTTATTTCAAAATCTAAGCTAGCTTGCTAGCTTAGATTTTGCGTATTAGAGAAATATATGTTGTGTCAAATTTTCCATATCGCCTACGATATACAAGGGTGCCGTTTTAAGTTTTCCTAGTTTTGGGGGAGAAAATATCTCTCAATTCGGTGATGTGTTTAGCGACTCAAGTATAATGGAGTTGATACAATTTTGATAACATAGTAGTGGTTGAATAATCAATTAAGCAAATCATCAAAAGAAATGGAGAGAAAAGTATGAAATATGGAAAAAATAAGTATCGTGCCAAGAGCTAAAACAGCCTTTGGAATGTTCTCGTACGTTGTTGAACATTTTTAGTGGAAACATTATTGGTGTATGTAAGCAATTGTTACGGGAGGTGAATTTTTACTTCAGTTCTTCGTTATGAACCCAAGTTCAAGACTCCATGCATTGGCATAATAAAACTGCACTACTACCAAAAAAGCTTAAGGTGTTACAATCTGTCGGAAAACACATGGGTCTCTGAAAGAATGCTATTAATCAATTACTGTGACGGTGTGTTTGTTTATTTATTTATTTACGCTTTATTGCAAAACCTTAAAAGAAGGATTCCAAAAGGCGACTTAATGCCATTTGGGTATTCTCTCCCAGTCAACCTGCGGCGTTGAGTGAGATTGTGCTAGGTGCAATAAGTTAAAAAAAGATGATAAATACTAATTAATGTAATGTCAAATATTCTAATACTTACATAATTATAAACATTTTTAAATAGACATTTATATCTACTGTTCACTTACTATAATGGGAAAATTAAACTAATAAAGTAAAGTAACAGCTTACATAATTATGTCCCACCGCTGGTCAAAGGTCACCTCTGTACAGAGGGTGTTAGGTCATGGTCCCACTGCGAATTGGTGGGCTTCACATATCTTCGAAATATTTTTCTTAACTGTTTCGCAAACATGCTTCCTCACGGTGTTTTCCTTCACCGCTGAGCACGTGATAAGTTAGCACTTAAAAATAACAATTTCGTTGGTGCCGGCACCGGGATCGGATTCAAGCTCGAATATATTGAATTAAAAGCGAGCGCCCGGAGAATCAGCTGGAGAACATAACGCATCAATTCTCAAACAGTTATATGAACCCATAAAAGAAAAAATTAAAGAAAAAAAAGGCAAACTGACGTTAGGCCCCGTTTCTTTAGTACAATACTCACGTCCACTAGAGTCATATTCCACCTACATAAGATGGGCTTCGAAAAAGAGGCAATTCACAAACGATGAAGAAACCAAGGAGGCAATTACGGCGTATTTTTCGGAGAAGGTAAATAATTGTTTATGGTAGATAAGCTAATTGGAAATTTTATTACCCTATTTGGTGAATTTTTTAAAAGGAACAAACAATTTTCAGCACCATCATTATCATTTCAGTATATTAAATGAAACTATTTTACGGATTTTATCGAGTTTTTTATTTTGATTTGAACTCCCGGCGTTTCGAACCCTTTCCAGCGTTCATGCTCACGGGACAGACTGACATTTAATATGTATAATATTCGTGTAAAATCAAGAAAACAATATCATTTCAGTAAATGAAAAAGTTAAGTTTAATTTTTTTTTACTCTTTGGAAATAACTGTGGTTTTTTTAAAGGACTAGATCTATTAATCAAATAGATTCTGACAGTAGGCGGGAAGCACAAAAGGTTTGCTTATCACTACTGCCACTGAAAATGTTGTGATATTTAAAATCATTAAATTTTAGAAGATTAAACATTGATATTAAGAGTAAAGTAGTTAGTTGTGTTTTTTAAACGGTTTTATTTAGCTCGACCCGTACGGTATTTATTTGTTTATTTATTTGGGTCAAAATTAGAAATTGAAATTTAAGCACCTTCCCGTTGTCAGATTGATCTGAAATTTGGTACACACATTTAATTTAGATGACAATACAATATTGTAGTTTTCAGTGCACATAAAATAAAACCGTTTAACTTTAAACTTTTTAAACGGTTTTATTAATAAAACATTCTTTGAATATCAATAAGTAAGTGCAATGCTTCTATATTGAATAAAGATATTTGAATTTGAATTTAATGCTATAGAAAAAATTCTATCAAACATAACACTGTGCTGAGATTCACAGATTACTGCCGTTGTATATTTTTTTTATAAGAATCATGATCTTATTTGCTAGATACCTACTTATTTGCTAGTGTTAGAATTGTTCTTAATTTCTATGGGGATAAGATACAAAAACGGGACTTTTTAAAAATATAAAGTCGCGTTGATAAAAAATTACTTTTATTAAATATATTTTCACGATCACAAATTAGAAGATATTTTAGTCGATCCAATAATTTTTTTAATATACGATTTTTTACAGTCTTTTAATTGATAATCTCTCGATGTTTCTTTCAGTTTTTATTACTTTTTTAATTAAATCAATTCCATGGCTGGCGGTCAACCAGTACTTAAATTATTACAGAATATTGGAAATGTATATGTGAGTGCTTATACCAGCGGTCAGGACCTAACCCTGAATCTGGGAAACGTAGTCCAGGCATTGAGTGAGGGTGTTGTAGAATTTGAAAGGCAGGTCGGCTTTACATCCATATCCGCCGAGCTTGTGGATGGCCGCAAAATCTAAGCAGTCGATTCTTCCATCGCCATTGCAGTCCTGAAAGAAATTATACTTAATCATTTACCGGCCAACATACATAACAACATACCTTACTCTTGGTAATTAAAAAAATACATATAGTCCAACATGGAACCTCCTGCTCCACCTCCTTTTTTGTAGTCGGTTTTAACCGAATTCAATTATAGCTATTTAAGCAATGAGTTGTTTTAATTAAATTTATTAATTTAGAATTTATTGTTAATTTATCTGCTTCGTAATCGACCGTTTAATTCTCTCCAAACTTTAAGTATTTTTGATATAGTATACTGCCGAATTTAATTAAATAAGATTTATTTAAAATATTGGGATTGGGTATCTGGAAACACATTGATTCACTGCCACTGGAATTCAACGATTCAATCACGAGTTGAAGTCTCCAGTCACACTACCAATTTTATTTATTATAAATAATATAAATGAAGAAAATACAAGAACTATTTTATATTATTTAAAAGTACTTAGGTACTGCCGGTTTCGGTATTCTGTCTACAGCTAGATTTGGTTACTGGAGATAGAATTTTGACGTAAGAATTGTGGAGCTAATATCAAATCTGTTAATTAATAAAAGTCTACTTTGGAATTTTGTTAGCGTTTCAAAAAATTTAAATTGAACTGGGTTGGTTATAAGCTTGAATCAAATGTGATTATTTTTTTAATTGTGACCATATATGTACATGTTACATACGTAACATATGTATATCACAAATTTAAATTTAATATTGTAAGACGTGCAACGTTTTCCATTGAAGTTAAATTGGACTTAAACTTAAACAAAGTATTAGAAAAAGAAGAAAAGTCTTAAATAAAATGTGTCTCTCAGTATTTTAATGGTGGTATACAATAAATATACAATAAACTGCTATTGTTATTGTTTTTTCACGGACCAGTAGTATTTGTCGGAGGGGTGATGTCACCGGCCCAGACTGTGACTATATGCAAATAAAATGGCAATGTTGGAGCATGTGAAGCCAACTGACAAGTGAATACGCCCACCGGTTTCACGGATATATTTTACATAGAGTTGAAAATGATAGAGCTGACAAGCGACCAAGGCTCTATATTAATTTGAAAAAGACTTCCGTCAGTTTCTATTCTCGTATTTTGGTAACTAGTTCTCACTGATGAGGTAACAATACATTATAAAAACTGGTGGCGTATTTTTAAATTATAGGTCTTTGCCTTATTTAACGCTTGTCCGTTCCATTGATTGTTATCTCTACACTCCAAAGTTATTTCGGTATGATGCAAATGTTTTGTTTTAGTTTATGATCTTGAACTTAATCTTTCAATCCAGTGGCCTTTACACACATGAACGTTTTACTAGGAAGTTTTGTTATGTGTGAACCGTGCTACATAGTCTTTTTAGAACGTTTCTGTCCGTTCCCAAAAAAGCTTAGTGTGTTATTTTTCTAGGGTGCCCTTTAGCATGAACTACACTTAGTCTATGATCCCCTAGACCTTATTTTAGAGCGATGTTCTCTATGTTTTGATTTATATTGTCTAATATAATATAGGGTTATTGGCATGGTGAAAACGGCCATTTCCTCAGATTAAACAATACGTTTTTATGCCTGATAACGGTAACATTTTTTTATCGAGAAAAGGGGCAAACGAGCAGGCTCACCTGCTGGTAAGTGATTACCGCCGCCCTTGATCACCTGCAACACCCGAGGGCTTACAAATGGGTTGCCGGCCTTTTAGGAGAGATAATATGCTCTCTTCTTGAAGATTCCCAGGTCGTAACGTAACCATCGTCTTGAGGCTCTTTTAACATTGTTCTAAATTTGGTGTATTCTTAGTACAAATATGGGTTATTATATGAAAATTCAAATATCTCTGCTTCTTACCTGTCCGAAACGCCTCATGTACTGTTGAACAGTGCGGGCCGCGCAGTATGGGTCGTTAGTGCATGATGGGTAGGCTGCAGAAGATAAACAAATTGAACAAAAACTTCTCAAAATGGATATTTTCCATATTCAAAAGCGACATTTTAAAAGTAGTATGTTATCAATCACACAATCTGTGGTAATTTTGTACGTCCCATCATTAACGCTTCGTTCACTCTGTCGCAAGAGTAGAAGTACATTTAAGGAATTTTCATAATAGGATATGCTCAAAAAATTTTCTTTTGAAAATATTTATGTTAGCGATTGTACTTTATACTTTACTTTGAAGGAAAGCACTTATTGGAGGAAAAACCTTTAAAAAGGGCTACTGTATTTTGGTACACTTACCATCGGGAGCCTCGGGAGAGCTTCCCGCCAGCGTCGGCTTCCCAGCATCAGCCCAGTACGCCCATGTGATGCGGAAAAGTCCACACGCGTCACCATCACATTGCTGGCCCACTTGGCAACCCGACACCGCTTGGCAAAGGCACCCTAGGCACACTTCTGTGACTGGCGTGTCGGTTGCTATTCCTGTAAATTATTAATTAGCCTATTATAAACAAAGCACATTATGCTGACGACCATCTTGACTTTACGGCACTATCCTTTTCTCTCAATGTGTTTTAATTAAACTTATTTCTTTTTTGTTGAGTGGTAATTGTGTAAAAATCTAATTATGTAAGCTTTAAGAGCGCCTAATTCGTAACCTTTAAACTTATGACAAGAATAACTGAAGAATAATGCAATTTTGGATGAATATTGTCTCTTATAAAATTTGAAAATAAACGGAACAAAAAACCTTATGCTGAGTGGGACTTATAATAGTGTTTGATTATTTATATGCAACATCAGGGTTTTCAATAATAGAAGGAAAACCCGAAATTCAACAAGGTTACCGGATGAAGATGGGTTTTTAAATAAATGCCAGTTTGCCAATTTAAGGGCGTATAGTGATTTATGTTGAACGCCTAAAACCGCAATATCGATGACAATGAATTCAGTCACTCGAGGTTAAGGCGACAAGGCTGAAGCTACGCAATGGACCAAGCCTTGGCATCTTAAGATCCGGTATGCGTCGAATGAATAAGTTCGCTGATACGCGGTGCGTCATTTGGAAATATACTTAGTATGTATCCTGGTTATTGCATACCGTTTTACGAGCTATGGATATATTAACACTTGCTGTCACTTTAAATACGAATCATAGTCCAGAGAGCTGTCATGGCATTATTTTCCAAGACAATTATCTCGAACATTTTATAATGATTTATAAGTACAGCTTATCCAAATGTATTGTATTGAAATGGAACTTGTTTTATTTTTAATTAAAATCTTTACTTTAAGAAAATAAATTCGATGTTGACTATTCTGTTTTGATTACTTTTCCCTAATATATTATAATAAAAATGGATTTAAATACATATTAAGTATTATGTGATATATCTAAAGGAAAAAATAAATAAATCTGCACCATCTGCAATTGCTATGCTCGATATTCCTTTGCGTGATAGAGTTCTCAATGATTCGCAGTAGAACAAAGGTAACCGATATATCTCAGAGGCTTAGTAAGCTGAACTGGCGATGGGCCGGCAATATCGCTTGAAGAACCGATAACCGATGGGGAAGAAAGGTTCTAGAGTGCAACCTCGTATTGGTCATCGTAGTGGACGATCCCCACTAGATGGACAGGATTGTGTTTCGTGGCGGTCTGTGTTTAGCAGTGGACTTAACAGGCTGAAATGACGATCATGACGATTTTTTTAAAATTTGCTTTTCCGTAGTTTAATGAAATATTGTACTTTAATAATACACTAGTGACCCGCCCCGGTGCAATGGATACATAAAAATTTTCCTCTTGAATCACTGTATCTAGTAAAAAAACCGCATCAAGATCCGTTGCGTAGTTTTACAGATCTAAGCATACATAGGAACAGACCGACAATGGGACGACTTTGTTTTATATTATGTAGTGCTTATGTAGTAAAATGTGGACAAAAGCAATTTTTCTAAGCACTTACATGTTTTTTTTTTATATATTTCGGTTAACGTTTGGCGTTTTCTTTTGTTAAAGACAAAGGAAATCGCCATAAATTGCAAGATAACCTTAAGATATTTCCACAAATTATTGTGGTACAATAGTAAAACGTGGGAGCGATTTTTATGCAATTGTTTACAAGGAAATTGCTTGTTCATTTTAACACGTCATCATCATGGTTGAATCGACAAGCCATTACGTTTACTTGGTTATACTATATTTTTGAATGGTGAAGGGTTTAACAAAAGTTACAACTACGATTAAAACGAACCGCAATCAACGATAGTTATATTATTGTAATTTCATTTAATTTGAGTTATGCAAAATAATTATTTTGCTAGCGATTAAGTACATAATTTTTAATAAGATTAATTTATTTTTTATAATACTATTAACTGATTATAAAACAATATTTCTATACATATTTCAAAAACGTCCCATTTAAAATACATTCCAAACATCGATACTCGTAGTATGAAATACGAATTAACTATTCCTTATAAAAATAAGAATCTATCCTATATTAATAAATAAAATAATTATTTAAGATTGTTCATTTCATATTACATCTAAGTTAATTGTTATAATTTAACACACATACACATAAGATCTACGCATACCTATACAATATGTTCTTAACAAGCTTCATACATAATGCATTGCATTTGCGCAATGCGGAAATAGTGACAGTTTTTTTTTTAATTTGTTGTCTATTTAATCTATAATACCTACTTTATACACCACGAACTTAGATACTTAACATATTTATAATTTTATAAGCACAATAAACATATTTCAACCAATGATCGGATTGCGATGATATTCTAAAACAAACATTTGTTATATATTCATGATTTTTTAAAATGACACCAATAAAAAGTTAGCTACAGAAAAAAAAAATACCTTGTTCTGTTCTGAGAAGAAATGTAACAGTTTTGAAACAGTGTATGCACTAAAAACCTGTCAATTTCTGTAAATGATAACATAAAAGGTCACTTAAATTATATCCACAGTGGCCTATAAAAAGGCTGTCAAATGTTAAGTTAGTTTTCCTTAACTCAAAAAAAGAATGATTACTTTAACATAACTCTTGCGTTTCAGTGTTTTGGTATGTGTTTGTATGGGACGTCAGTGTATGTAAAACTTCTTGTATATAAGTAATTATGTGTGCACGCTCCTGTGTAACGGCCTACACTGCAATCAGATTATGAAGTCGCTAGCAATGGTGAAATCTTTGTTTTATACGTATACGGTACTTGCTAATGTTCATTTCTGTATATAGATAATTACGTTATTACCTATATACAAACATGCATTCGTGAAAGTTCATACATTCGTAAAAGTAACAGCTTATCTATGACCCACTGTTGAATGAAGGCCTCCTCTATTTAGAAGGTATTATTGCATAGTCCACCACGACCCCACGGCGGATTGGCAGACTTTAATGCATCTTCGAAATATTTTTCTTATAATATTCGAAAGTATGCAGATTTCCTCGCGACGTTTTCCTTCAATATTGAGCACGTGATAATTCAGGCACTTAATATTGGCAATTACATTTGTGCTGGCATCCTGATTTGAACTCACGGTAGTATATTTAATTAAAAGCGCCTGTATTTACAGATAATAAAAGCCGCCCGAATGCTAATCGGACTCGCACGAAGGGTTCCGTCACGTTATATATTAAAAACGGCAAAAAAATCATGTCTGTTGTATGGGAGCCCCCATTTAAATATTTTTTTGTTCTGTTTTGTTGTTGTAGCGGCAGCAGAAATACATCATCTGTGAACATTTCAACTGTCTATCTATTACGGTTCATGAGCTACAGCCTGGTGACAGCTGGATGGACAGACATACAGGCAGACAGCGGAATCTTAGTAATAGGGTCGCGTTTACCCTTTGGGTATCCGTACCCAGACCCTGAAAACCCTGTTGCCAGATTCGCCGCGCTCGTTTGGAGAAGTACGAAGGTGTCAGAGAAGATGCGGAACGGCGTAAGTAAAAGTATTTTTAGCTTAAACGACATTAAGGTGGAAGCACATTTTTTAATCACATCTAAACATATTTTCCTTTTTTAAATGATATAGTAGATTTAATAAAATTTTGATGTGAAACATCTATAGCCGCACGTAAAGACGATTTCTGGCGTGGCGACGCATGCTATATGATGGTATATATATATATATATATATATATATATATATATATATATATATACTGTATATATATATATATATATATATATATATATATATACAGTCTATATGCAGTAGTGTGTACGATTAATTACTCAAATTTAAATTAATTGTATATAATTATTTATTAATTATTCATTAATTAAATTAATTGTGTGTACTATTACCGAAGTCACTGATTAAACGAATTAAGTAGTCACGATTTGAAATAAATTCGTAAATTTTTGTATTTAATGAAAATAAATGTTTATTCAATAAATAGTCATCGTTATCTGGAAAAAAAATCGTAATATTTCATTTTATCAATATAGGAACTAAATATGTCAGTTCCTATCACAATTCAATTTTTTCAATCTCATTTTTTTTGTTCTAGATTCAGAATTGCAATTGGTTTATGTATGTTGTATGCATTTAGTTGGGAAGCATATTTAAATAAATAAATTTATACTTTGGCATTTCGTCTAGTAAAAGGATTAATTAATCGATTGTTGCAGATGTATGTATATCGGTGGTTAACACTACCCTATAACTACAGATGCAACGCATATATGAGCGATTTTTTTCGCCGGTGAAACGATAACATTAAGATTTTTCCACGTAAACATACACTTTACATACTGGCTCTTATTGATTGAACGTTCCTCGGCTTCTTGAAATGCGACCGGTCCAGTTGGTAAGGCGCCGTGGGACGAGAACCGGTTGACAACTCGTCAAACGGATCCCACATCTGAATAATTAAACAGGAGCAAGCTATTTGTTCGCGAATTAATTACGAAAGGGTTTCTTGTGCACATTTATAATTGTTCTCTAATTATAGCAAACATATCTTTATTTGGTTACAATATTCTGATTGAAGTTTTGCGAAAGATTTCTTTAAATTTATAAATGCAAATATAAAACGTCGGATACGAAAAATCACATAAATGACACTTGTAAATTGACCTTAAAGTTGCATCTATGATTACATCAGCTTGGTATAATTTATTGGTTTGTTTTCATCAACTATCGGAATTGTTCTAGATCGTTCGAGATAAATTATGCGGGTTAAGGTTTATCACAAAATCCCTTGAAGTGATAAACTCAAGATTTGTATCGTGTAAGTGCCTGGATGTGTCCTGACAAGTAAAATATATGGCCTCTACGTAATCCTTTCTGCATTATGAGAGAAGAAGGTAAACGAGCAGGTGACTATCACTTGCCCATTGACTTTCATAACGTCCGTGGGGCAGGGGATGCGTTGCTTACCTTAAAATAACCTTATTTACCTAATGTAGCAGATGGGAAAAGGAGTCAAACGACATTCGGGTCACCTGGTGATAAGCGATCACCACCCATGGACATCTGCAACATCAGTTAGGTCGCAATTGCGTTGCCGGCCTTTAAGGTAGGAGTAGGCTCTCTTAGCTCTCTCGGATAATAGCCATAATTATAATATTGAGGACGTGGCACCTGTGAGGACGTGGCACTCTTGTAGATAATTCAGCCCAATTGCGCAACTGCGGAAACTGCTGCATAAACTTATGACTTTCAAATGCAACAACCCTAACTACAAATGCTGAAAATTTCAATTTAGCCTAATATCTGCTACTATCAGGAGTCTAAATTGTATATTGCAAACACGAAATTTTAACATTATCTGAAATACTGTATATCTATAGAATATGTACTACTGTATATCGATTTATTTCAAAGTTAAAAATTAACATTTTCTAAATCACATGGAATATTGTGTTGGACCGTCCTTATATACTTTTCTTGAGACTATTCCCACTTGAACTTATGAAGTTAATTATTTTGTTCTCACATAACTGTGGTATATTGTTTCTAGTTTAGTAACTTATATGTTTAGATATAGGGTAGGCGCGAAAAACTATTGTATGACGATTTCGGGCGGTGGGCCAGTCTTGCAATAAACGTTGAACGATAACGAGTGTCTTATTTCGCAGCGGCGACCAGGAATTATCATAATAAAATATGGCAAACATGGGTAGAATCGGAGAATTCAAATGGCAATTGGAGTTCATACTGTGAAAGTTTGGAGATGTATTTTTTGGTTAACGGCGTCAAGGAAGAATTAAAGTTACCTACTTTGATATCTGTGGTTGGCCAAAGTGGATACGAACTGATGACTAACCGTGCAGCCCAAGTAAACCCGCTAAAATGAAATACGACGATGTTGTAAGAATAATGAGCTATTATCTGCAACCGAAAGCGTCAATTGTAGCAGAGCGCTATAAGTTTCGCCGACGTAGGCAGTGTGAAAACGAAACAATATACCGCAATAACAAGAGACATTAGTTAAAAATATTTGACCGGTTAAAAACGCTGTTAATATTTTACAATCGATAGAGTCTATTCAAACAATCCAATAAGAGCTAGTCCATATGAAATATCAATTGGCGATCGATGACTCTTTACAATGACAATAAAAAAACCGATTTATCTATAATGGGCTCCATGATTACTGCAACTGTTGCCTTTTTTGTATCTTTACGGCGTAACATTTAAGAATCTGACAATTAAATTTATGCAAATTAGTTTGGAATAATGCTAATTACGCGGAAGATACCTTGATTGACATAACACTGTTATTTTACGATTTATTCACCTGTTGGTTTGAAGTATTTATGTATATGTACCTAAGACTTTGATGGGCCTTGATATTTATTGTTGTACGATTGCTTTTTGCTTCATCATATTATATAGTTTATTTTGGTATGTTAGTTTGGTACCAAATTAAAAATAATATAGGCATGATTAAAATGATTTTAAAACTTATATTGTTACATTTAATTTATTTAATATCATTACCTTTATTTTCAAAAAAGGAGGAGGTTTTCAATTTGGTTTTTTTTACGTCTATTACCTCTCAAACCCGTCATTTGTGAACAAAATCTTACAAATACTTGTTTCATAGGTATTGAACCTTGGACTCCGGAGATACATCTGGGAACTCCTCAATGTCAAATAGAAAATGTATGAAGAAAACTTAAAGACTGTTTTATGTTTCGTTAATAAAAATGTTATAATTGAAGTAAATTTTCATGTTAGTCACATAAAACCTTTTTATAATACTTACGCCCGGTTTCTGTAAAACTGATCATCGTAGAAGTTAACTAATCAGCTGTCAAATACTTTTCAAATGTTATTTGAGTTGCCAAAACGATTGTTAAACTCTTTGAATTGATCATTCTGATCAATTACATAAGTTGCAAGGTGCAACTAGTTCATCTTGCTTTGGTGAAATTACTAGTGTCAAATCTTTTAGTGTTTCAAGCTTTTGTGATCATCGCTGACATTTTAGTGTGATTTTTTCATGACAACAATCGAAAAAATATATTCGAGGATATATTATTTAACATGTTTCACTGCACATTTTGACTATTCACAGTTAACTTGTCCAGTTCAACTATTCTAATTCTATGTTCAAATAAACGAGTATTTGTAAATTTATGACTAAAATAAATCAGCAAACAACATATATTTCGAAGTTTCACGTATTTATATGATGGTAGGATTCAAATAAGGCCGGGGATGTACCACGGCCTCACAGAAGATCAGCGTGAAGTGGTAATATTATTATTTCGCGTTTGGTCTGTTAAGTGAGGTGCCCCGGGCCCACCTTCTTAATGTTGAGAACACACAAAGTTAATTCAAAAATATTAAAAACACAAATACACAAATCATTAAAAACGTGTAGTAATAAAATAACGAAGGCAATTATACAGCAACTGTAAACTAGATGCTAGCGAGGACTTCAACACGATTAGAAGTCGCGAGTTTAACACTAACTTGGGAATACTCCATTTTAGAAACATTTTCATGCATTTTAATTGCAATTAAATATGTCTATGATTTAAATAATAAACATATTTAGCGATAAATTGTGCGGAGAATGTTTCAGTAAATTAACATGGCGACATACCAACATCAGCTGCGGTGAGACCGATAAGCATGCAGATGGCACTGAACTTAACCAAGGCGGATGCCATTGCGGCGGGATTATTGAGAGGATCTCATAAACAAAACAACGAAACGATCAGAAACGTGCTGTCCGCGCGGGTGACTGTTGCCGACTGACATTGGATGTGGCCTTAAACCGCTTTTATCGACGGCTCCGACACCAGTTGATTCACCGTGTTCATCAAAATTGTTGAAAATCCCGCTTCTGTCCGTTTGTTTTGCAATTTCTCGTATTCTGACGCGCCATGTTCCTATAATGGCGTTTGGGGATCCGCTTTTCACGCCGGATGTGTTGCTCTATAGAGCCGTGGGCTCTGTTAATCTTTCTAACGAACGCAGCGGGACAGCACTTTGCCCCACCCGCCGGGTGTTTTTGAAATTGATGCTTTTTAATTTTCTGTCGATATTTTTGTGCTTAAACAATATAAAAAGAGATCATAAGATAGAAATTGTGTCATATGTTTTACGCTTCTGCTGTTGAAATCGTGATCTGAATAAGGAAACAATCATCTGAGAGGCTGTCCATTCCTGTATCTTTTTAATATTAAAATGATACGTAATTTTTTAAGATGTTAAATATTGAATTTCTTATAGTGCTAATCTCTGCACTTAAGATTAAACATTAAAATTTGTAGTAGAAGACGTGGGTTCGATTCCCACAGCGGCGACAATCTTTTCGTACTTTTTCTACAAATTTTTATGTTTCATCTTAAATATTGAATGTAACTTTAAAGAAAACAGTAAAATGCAGCAAACATATATAGCAAATGCCGACTGGTGACGAGAAAATTATTCATATCTAATAATTTTCTTCTCGTGTTTTGGCCAATTTATTACTAAAACTGGATTGCTGTAAACCATGTTATCATTATTCGTTATTAATTTTTGTTCACTTAATTCACAAAATAAAAATAAAAAGATTCCAAAGATCCATTTAATAATACCGTTAACAGGATGTCCCGGCGAAGGATTTTTAAAGCTATGATATCATTTTCTCTCGAACGTTTCATTGCCAGTACCGTCAATAAATTATTTATATGCTTCGTTGTTTTTGTGACTTTTTAAATTATTCCACAAAATTTATAAATAACCATATGGCTTTTACACAGAGCATTATCATTAATTTCAATCTAATTTTCTTTAATTTTATTTCTGATTGTATAACAAGAAAAATTAGAAAGAATTTCATAAAGTTACCAATTAAATAATTACTATGAAGATAACACATAGTTTGTTATCACTCTATGGCCGCTTCTTAATAGCAGACGGAAATGCGGACAAAGCTTAACTGTTCCACTGCTTTATACGCGTTATGAACCATGAAGAGTTTTTTTTTCAAATGTAGAGAATGTCTAATGACGGGGAAAGGGGGGGGGGGGGGGTGGCACCACGTAACGCAATTTCTTCGTACACTTCGTGCTGTCATTGATAACTTAGCAACAGGAACTCTGTCCCTTTGCTCGAGGGCACCAAAAAGGAGAGGTCTCTCTTGCTCAGAAAAAACAAAATGGACTTCAGATATCTTAATCAGTGAAATTGTTCTACTTGGTTTTTTATTTTGGTTTTGGAAGTTCCCTGATGGTTCTCCGAAGTCAAAGTTCAGACACCAATAAAATTAATGTGGAACCTGAGAATACATGACAGCTAAACCGAACCCAATGAAAAAATATTTTTTTAAATCGATTTAAAAATGACTGAGTATTGAGGTAATGAACATAAAAAACATTCTTTAATATAATAGAATTGAGAACATCCTCCTTTTTGAAGTCGGTTGAAACAGAAGAAGTCTATGATCTTTGTAGTTTGTATCATTGTTTAATAATTTAAAAAAGTAATGTGTATTTTGTGTTAACCAAAAGATTTGAAATGAGATTATTTAAAGTGATATAAATAGAGCCCTGAACAATGTCACCAATAAAATTATATTCAATTAAATATATAACAATCCATAGAATTGCAATGATGTTGATCATTGAGGCTGGGTCAAAACTCCACCAAACGAACGTTTGGAGAAACGTACATAGAATTTTTTAAGATTCAAAAGCTTGTAAACGGAAGCAGATTTTAAGCAGGGCTTTCAGGAAGCACGGATACACTTCATAGATAAATTAAGCATGTTAAACAGTAAAGTAATAAAACTAATGCCGATTCTAAGAACGTTCTCGCGTTATACAGCTGTGGAAGACGGTGCCAAGTAAGGAAGATAAGATGGCATGCAAATTGCTTTCGCGTGCTGTCGCCATACCAAGGGAACATTGTATGCTGTGCAACATACTTGTAGATAACACAAACCACGACTTCAAATGAAGCCCTCGCAATTATTTACCCCACTGCCGCAATACTTTAGAGATTACCTGAGGACTTCAAATAAAGAGGTTCTCAATTCGACTGTACTTCTTTTGTTTGTTTCCTCAGAACTTTAGACTGGGTGAAACGATTTTAATGATTCTTTTTTTTTTCTTCGAAAATTAGAATTGGATTCTTTTTTTATTTGAAAACTGGTATGTTAGCGGATGACGGGCCGAAAATGTATCCATTAGTAATTGAATCGCGTTTGATATGAAACTGTGAGTAGCATCATTTTACTCTCGCTATATATATTATGTCATATTCTTGTATATACTTTTAGTTTGGTGTCTGTATCTTTCCGTCTCTATCTGCGTATTACATTTGTAGTGACTGAAATGTCAGACTTTCGATCTGAAGTCGCAGATTCTGATTCCAGTAGAAATCACCAATGAGTGCTAATTAATTTACAGTGATAGACTTCTGGTAATGTTTAGGACTAACTTACGCTACGAAGGTAGGTCAGTACAAACATTTTATGATTTCACACAAAGTAAAATTATGAGCATTTATGGGATCCCCTTTAATAGAATTATAGGCGATTTAGCTCACGACGGCTGCAAATGGTCGCACGCAAAAATCGTGATATAAATGAACTTACAATAAAATTTATGCTTCAGTCGTGATTTCTCCATCTCGTGTTATCAGGATCTGTAATATTAGCTGTACAGGTCGCTACTAACTGAATCTATAAAAAGAAAAAATTACAGCCTACATATGTCCCTCTGCTGGGCAAGGGCCTCCTCTGTACTGAGGGTATTACGGCACAGTCTAACACGCCCACTGCGGTTTTGTGGACTTCACATATATTCGGAATATTTTTTCTGTTATTATTTCGAAAATATGTAGGTTTCCTCACGATGTTTTCCTTCACTGCTGAGCACGTGATGAGGGGGCGTCCATAAATTACGTGAGGTGTTTTTTTAATTTTTTGTCCCTCCCTCCCCCCCTGGTGAGATGTCGTGAGATTTTATTCAACCCCCTCCCCCAACCCCCAATCTCACGTGAGATTTTTCAAAATGTGGGTTTCTTACGTAAACGCGTTGGATTGTTATTGTAAAAAGAAAAAAAAATTGCTTCGTGCTTTTATTTACGACTGGTTAAGACTAGTAATCAATATTGCTGAGAGTTTAATTATAAGTGTAATAAAAATGTAACAATAGAATACTTAAATCGTAACTACTGTGATTAAAAAAAAGAATATCTACTCTAATTCAATCCATGGAGAATCATGCACGGTCTCAAGAGAGACTATTGGAGTCGCGCGTTCGGCTGACAGCGCGAAAACAAAGGACGGGCTACACTGTACCGTAAATTCAGATTAAATTGAGCTATTTGGTATAAAACGAATGACGTGGTTTGACAGTCAGTAAATGTATAACGTCGAAGTATGAATGAAATTATTTTCTTTCGAACGAATTAGTGAATGATCTTAATCGTATTACGCGATTACGCTCAAGATTAAATATTAAGCATGTACAATCTGGATTAAATGGACCATAATAGTATAATTTTTTTTTGTTTCAATCAGAAAAAAAATTGCGTGATATTTGCCGAGACCCCCTCTCTCCTACGTAAGATTAGATGAGATTTGACTCGACCCCCTCGCCCCTTAAACACCTCACGTAATTTATGGACGCCTCCTAAGTCAGTACTTAAAATTAACTATTACATTGGTGCTCGCACCGGGGATCGAACTCAGGTTACTCGAGTACATTGAATTAAAAACGAGCGCCCGAGCTAACGAGTGAGCTATCATGGCATGGCTCGACTTTATATCTAAGTAAATCTTTTATTGGTGTTAATCGGACGTCATACAATTCATTCCGCGAAGTGGAATGTATTAGTAACATTAGGAATTTAAATTACGCTAAGCGGAATAAGAACCGTAAAAACCTTTCTTTTATATTTATCTTAGCTTAGATCGAAGATTTTTGTTTCCCTATATTTGTTTAATGGTAAAGTATACTGGGTTGTTCTTGGTAGCTAATTAGTAGTTAGGTCAGACGCTTGCATCAGTATATTCGAGCAACCTGAGTTCAAAACCCTGTTACATTTTTAATTGTAAGATATTTTAAGTCTGCCAATCCGTAACGGGACATATTTTATGAAGGCTACCGTGCCACGTTACATTAACTTTAAAGGACATACCTCTGTAATATTTTGTTTTATATTTAATCTGCTAACATGACAGTATTACTAAATAATATACAAAAAGGGATTTTATTATCAACGAAATTATCTGCCTAGATTGATGTAATAGTACCATTAAAAAGCTTTTAAAGTCAACCTGATGCATTAATTTATAACATATAAAATGCATTTAAAATATAAAGAAAGATAAAAATCTTCTGAGACATAAATCTAAAACAAAAAAATTAAGAAAAACTATATTTACATACTGTTTTTAAACCGGTTTATCAGATAATATGTTAAAGCCCCACTTCTATAAAATGTCATGTAAAATTCCTGATGGCTTCCATGGACAGTTTCAGATATAAGATTGTGTTTTGTATTAATTTAAAACAAATTTTCCTCAAGAAGCACGCAAACTATGCAGTTGTAGTTCCAAGAATACGACACTTGCATATGCTTTCCCAACTTAAGGCTGTGGTTACATGGCACCAGACGAAATCCAGAACTAGCTTACTAATTCTTGCTGCAAAAGAAGTTGCTGTATGGTCATAATTTAGAAAAAAATCGAAGTATTTACTTTATTACAATGAATTTATAGTATTAAAATACTGTTATTTATTCTACAGGTAGTTATATAACTAGACTATGGGTCTTTTAGATGGACTATGATGGGATTCGACAGAGATTACTTAATGCTATTTCTATTTCGGTTGTTTAGCAGCCATTTGCACTTTTTAAATTTAATTACTAAAAATGAATGTTTTTGGTTCAGCATGCGTTACCATATACTTCGACCTATTGCACTTAATCTTCTGTCGTTATGCTTACATCCCGCGAAGGTTTCAGAGCTAAATATTACAAAAAAAGAAATAAAATCGAACAACGCACAACGGATTAACTTAGCTATTGTTCATACAATTGGTTTCATAGTAATATTACTTAAAGGTGAGGGCTCTGGCATTTAAACCAACGGCCAGCCCTTCAATAAAAATATAAAACTAATTTTACGCATAACACATCCTTTTAAAGTAAATACATTGAAGGATCAAATCAAACAACTCAAGTGAGTAATTTTACTCGGAATATTTTAAGCTTATTAGTACCTGGATTTATGTTCGCTTCGATTAAATTTGATATAATTGTATAGTATTAATAATGCAATATTGATATCATACTATCGAACAGAAGTTCGATGAAATAATATCATAAATTATTTTATTGATAGGCCACTAATAAATATTATATTGACGTATAAATAAAAAAAAAACATCCTTGTACTCTTGCAATAAATTAAAGTTTCTCTTAAATAAATATTCCCAATAAACACGTTCGTACCGTGAAATATTTATAAGGATCACGAACGGACGATAATAAATAAATAATCAAGGACAAGAGATGATATCATGAATGATACATATAGTGAAGAAATATTCTACGTATCATTGTATATTTACAAACGAGCATTCCTTTTAACTTACTCCATGCGCCATTATGTTAAATAGGTGACGGCAAACGTGCAATTGGCTTACTGATCATGTGGGTGACATAGAAAATCCGAACACCACTACACCAGAAGAGTTACAGATGAATTAATAGAGAACAGAGAATACGAATATAGTATTAGAATCAGAGCCTATTCCTTTTCGGGATGGTTGTATATGGACAACAGCGTTTGTCCGAAGCTCACGGCCGGTTGTGATAAGTTACAATCAGGGGCGCTGCTTGCTGTATAGTGTATTAGTGTATTTTATATACAATATATGTCGATCACTCTTAATCAACATAGCCGCTAGGAAAAAATGTGTATAAATTAATTAAAAACTGATATAAATCAAAACTATTTATTATTTTGCAGTTGATCGACAGTTAACAATTCAATTTAAATAATTTAAAATCACAGTTTGAATAACAGTATCTTCGTATTATATCTTAATACTTGCGGGAGTCGACGACCTAATATAGCCGTTGTTAGACGACATGTTCAAAAAAACTAATTTAAATTCATAGAAGTCAGATAGTGACCAGTTTAAACAGTTTCAGGTCCCTGATTAAGTCGCCGTTAAATATGAAGCGAGGTTTGTATTACTAACGCACTTCTGATGTAATGCATTTTAGTTTTCCTCTTGTCCAACACTGAAGGCTTTGATTATAATACAATTTGATGATGACGATTATAATAAAATACAAATTAAATTACATAAAATTTAACAAATAATTTCCATGGCTTCAGGATCTGAAATAAGAAATAATATTATATTATTTGGATTTAATCTTTAAGTTAACTGATTTTACCCGCTTTTTTATTTTTTTTTAAGTGCGAAGGTGAAAGGAGCTGACGGTTCACCTGATGTTGATTGATAACCTATAAACTTTACATTATCTCATGTAAATGAAACGCATTTTTATAGGAATTAAAAAGTGAATACAGTAAGGCAACAATAGCGATTGACGCAAGCAGCACGATAAAATAAAATCAGCGTTAGTATTTTAATATGCCAGCAAGCTTAGTAAAACTTTAAAAAGGTGCATAAAATACAGCTTTATATAATATATTTTTACTTCATCACTAGTGTCATTATTTCATGAAATAGTTACACCGCAGCACGAGAATATAAGGTGTTGAGGCTATTACCAGATATCATATAAAAGGAAAGAGAGGTTAATGAGAAAGTGGTTCAGCTGATTCTAGAAGTGGTTACCGTTTCTTATTGACATGTAGAATATTAAAGCACCCGTGTTACTAGCCATCATTGTCTCAAGAATATCAATTCAAAATATAGGAGTACAATTTAGTATACCGATTACTGCAACCATTAGGTATATGGTGAAAATAAACTTAATACTTAGTAGGGACTTTGCGACAATGTGGTGTTTTATGTCTTTAATTGTGGCTTGGCTAATAAACGTAAATATCGTTTTTAAAACTCTTTTAAACGAGCTGCCTGTAGCTGGCTGCCTTTATGGATCTGGAGATCACCGATTGGTGAGAGGCACATTCAATATTAACATTAGGCTGGAAAGATCTTGTCTGATGAAGTCCACACTCCGACATTCTGGTGCCTATATCGAGAACTCCGAAAGCTTTCAGCTCGAGCTACATAATCGCTTCCAATGTCTAGAAAATTGCAGCACGGTGGACGATATTAACGCTAAACTCTGGGAATATTTCCATGCCTTGCCATTCCTTTCTATGCCTTACCATTTGCCTCTTTTTATATATTATTGCGTTATAGCCTTAGAGCAGTAGTGTGGTGGTGCTGTTCTATACCAAAAAGGGTATATAATAGTAGAGGAACACGCTTTCTTGAAGAACTATAGACCGATAACTATAGACCGTGTCTTTTTGCTGTTTTCGAGAGTAATCTTGAGTTGCCTCGCTTCCAGACCTGACGTCTTCCAGCCTCCCGAACAAGCCGGACCGGATTCCGAAAAGGCTTTAGCACCATAGGTCACATACACACTCTGCGGCAGATTATATAATATTATACAGAAGACCAAAGAATATAATCTGCCATTGTCTTGCGTATGTGGACTATGAGAACGCCTTCGATTCTGTCGCAATTTGGGCTGTAATTCAGGCACTTCGGCGGTGCCAAATTGACTGTCGGTATATCGGGATACTAAGGTGTCTGTGTAATAGAAGTGGGCGATACAAATCGTATCAGATATGAAAACTAGATATTAGTACAATATCTGAATATCGCTTACTGGCTCGTTCAATATCTATGTATTTTACAATATCTGATATTTCCGAAATCTGATGTACCGTGCTCGCTCGCTATACCGACACGAATCGCGATATCATACGCGTTTGCAACAATATCTGATTTTTAAACAGATTTCGAGAGACAAAGCGCGTGAGATACAAATACTCACTAGTTAGAGCGGGACGGCAAGCAATGCACGATATCAGATTTCGAGCGACAAAGCGCGTGAGATATAAATACTCACTAGTTAGAGCGGGACGGCAAGCAATGCGCGATATCAGATTTATAAACAGATTTTGAGCGATTGTTTCGGATCTGATTGTTTATTACACCTGAGTAAACGTTCTTACAACACACGGTTATGATATCCTACAGCAAGGCAAGGCGAAAAAAAATCAAGTTCAAGTGTTCATCGTACGCCGTCTATCGTTTGTTAGTATAGAACAAAGAGAATGTAATCACTACGTTTATAGGTAATCTGACATTTACCTATAATATAAATCATGTGACTGTAGAACAATAGACTAAAGATTTTTATATGTCATATTTTTATTATTTTAAATACATGTAGATAATTATTTCTGCGACACTAATCGCACAGATAATATATTTATATCTTTAAATATATTTTTTTTCGTAGAGTTAGGCTCTGACGTAGTTGTTACATAAATACGTACTTTTTAGTTTGGCAGCACGGTGTACTCCAACAGTCATCTTTTGTCCAAGATACGTATATTATCTATGTCTTTTGTTTTCAATTACAATAAGCTGCAAAATTTACCATTTAATGGTATAGTGACTTAACTTCCATGCTTAGATGTTTCTTATTGGATAAAAAAGGTAATTGTCAAAAGTAATCTAATTTTTGGGCCATTCGTGATTAAGAATATTATTTATGTCAAATAAATTAGTAAAAGTGTAAGAGAAAGCAAGGTACATACTAGTCAAGTTTAGGGATTTAATAATTTAAAAGTAGAGTACATTTTATTGAATATTAGTTTATATGAGATAAAAAATAAACAATTTTGGATGAAAAGTATAAATTAAGCGCAGGTAACCTTTTATTTTATCCCGTTAAATATAATACTTCGATAGACGTCTACAGTCTGAAATCTCAAATCAACTTTTATCTTTTAGAACATAGTTTATAGATCGGATTAAAGTATTTAACTAAGTAACGAGCTAACTCATCATAAATTTTAGACATTTTCATTGATATGGAAGGTCATATTTTTGGCTATTAATCGTTGCAATAATTTGATGACTTGCCAATTTAGGCCGTGGTGAACGACCTTTACTTTAATCCGATTAGTAATTTGATATTTATATGACACTGACTTTTATCCCCCTGTTACTTCCTTGGAGTTATTTATATAATGTAAACCTTACTGAAAATACATTTACTGTTTTAAATATTCAACACAACATTTTTCTTTTCCATGGCAAGAGAACTAATCGGAGTCAAATAATGCATGAACCCATTATTTGTTCCCAACGCTGACATTATACATGTAAAATAAAGTCTTAAATAAATATAAAATGTATGTATCTCATGTAAAACTTTTATGAAATTGCAACGAACATTAGGAAATATTTATATGCAGGAATTTGTTTTTGTTCATACTGAATCATAAAATAAAGAAAATTCTATTTGATAGAGCTACACAATAGCTTTGTCTGTTCAATTATGAAATATTTGCCATTTAAAGTTTCGTATAGTTGTTGCAGTAACTGGAGGCCCATTGTCATAAAGATTTACAAAGCTCCAGTATCTGAACACGCAGTATTAAAACTACTGAACTACTACTTTCTACATCATTGCAATTTCCTGTCATGATATTTGTTCATGATATCTTAGTTATGTTGTATGTGTTTGATGTTTACAAATTTGTTTCAGAAATAAAATGCGCCAGTTGTTATTTCCAATAGTGCTGCTTATATGCAGTACATATGTTGCAAAAGCATATGAAGACACAACATTAGAAGATGATGACTTTGCAGAGTTCGAACAGTTTGATTCAGATGATGATGCAACTGTGATTGGTAAATAGCTGTATATGTTTACAACAGTTTATACTTATAATACTTTCTTTCTTAAAATACCTTTTCGTGAAATTTTGTGTGCATATCGGCCAATGTGGGGAATCAGAAAACATTTATTTTTCACCCCCCTAAATGTTAAGGGTGGTCAACCCCAAACATTTTTTTTCTACCCTACAAATAATTTATATGGCAAAACAATGTTTGCAGGGTCAGCTATTTATATATTATTTTTTATATATTATTTTAGATTAAGATGAGAAAAAGTTGTTATTTTAATTGTATTTAGTAAGCTAAATTATATGTTATCTAACAAACTTGCCCAGGTGGCATGACTCTATGATGTACGAAGCTGGCGCGAGGCCTGCTTTTATTCGAGTATCGGGGCATCCCCCATGCCTCGGACATAATCTCGACCAGCAATGGCTGGTCGGTGATGAGGATGGCCGACGGCCATCCCTAGCTCTGACCGCGGCAGCGGCACTGGCGGGTGTACAGCGTTACACGCGGTGTGTAACGCGTGGACGACATCGTCTTCTCAACGGCGGAGGTGCGGTCGGGTCCGGCTCCCCAGTGGCCTCCGACCGCAGTAGCTCTCGTGGGAGCGGGCGCCCGTCAGGAGGACGGGTGTAGGGGTGCGATATTTTGTAGGTGTGGATGTGGTCCGTTGTCGGCCCGGTCGTACATGCGACGGGCCAACCGGACCACAAACTCCTGGATGGATTCGATTTTTAGATCGCGGGCGATTACGTCATTCCTGACGTAGCGCCCGGCCCCCACGATTACTCGAAGGGCGAGGTTCTGCTGCGCCTGAAGCCTGCGCCTCTGCGAGGCGGAAACCAGACCATACCACGCCGGAGTGGCGTAGGTCAGGCGCGAACGTACGTACGTCTTGTAGACGCCGAGTTTGGTCTTGATCGGTAACCTGGATGCCAGGATAGGGTACAGCATGGCTCGAGCTGCTCTGGCTTGTCGGACGGCGTGTCCGACCTGGGGAGCCATGCACAGCGAGCGGTCTATCCGGCACCCAAGGTACCTTATGATGTTCTGGTTGGTAATCGCCTGACCTCGCAGCTCAAGCGTGGGTTGGTTTTTAATGCGGCGGATATATATGGCGGACGTCTTGTCGACGTTGACAGACATCCGCCACTTATCCAGCCACTCGGGCAGCAGGTCCAGTTGGCGCTGCATTTTCCTCGCCGCAATCGCCGCGACGTGAGAAGACGTGAAGAACGCACTGTCGTCCGCGTATAGGGCCAACAGTACGTCTTCATCCCAGTCGGAGGCGTTTTGCTCCAAGGTGGGAATGTCGTCCGTGTACACCGCATACAGGTGTGGCGACAGACAACTACCTTGTGGTACACCGGCTTTGATGCATCGTACCGCCGAGTCGGCTCCCTCGACGTGCACGACGAACTTCCGGTCCTGAAGAAATGACGCTACTAACCGCACGAGCGCACGGTGGGTGGTGGTGTTTTCTAACAGCTTGTGCAGCAGACCCTCGTGCCACACTCTGTCGAAGGCCTTCTCCATGTCGAGAAGGACCCCCAGACAGATGCGGCCCCTGTTGTACTGGGCCGCAAGATAGTGCAGCACTCGGGCCAGCTGCGCTGTGGTGGAGTGGCTGCTGCGGAAACCGAACTGTTCCCTGCGTAGCTCGATGCAGGGAACTATTCTCCGCAGCAGCAACCGTTCGAAAAGTTTTTTGCTACGTGCGGCAGTAGCGTAGCGTGATTGGCCGGTAGCTCGCCGGAAGTCGTCGGTCCTTGCCCGGTTTCGGCAGGACGATGATCTTGCCGGTTTTCCACTCAGAGGGGAAGTGTGCCGTGCGCAGTACACCATTGTACAGGCGGCACAGCGCAACTAACCCCCTTTTCGGTAGTTGCCTTATCGCCAACGTCGTGATTCCGTCGATGCCGGGTGCCTTGCGGAGCGCGAGTTGACTCGCGGCTCTACGCACTTCGGCCGGAGTGATGAAGAGTCCACCATCCAGCCGTGGCATCGGCTCCGACAGGAACACCTGTATGTGCCGCTCCACTTCTTGGTGGAACGCAATGGCGCCTGGGGCCGATGTATTGGGCACAAATTGCCCTTCTAAGTGCTCTGCCAGAATGTCAGCCCTGTCTTGGGCTGCAACGTGCTTACGTCCGTCACCGCCCACGAGTGGACAAATGGGTTGTGGCGTTCGGCTGAGCTGCCGGTTAAGGTGGTGAAGGGAGGTCTGCGACTCGGAGGCCTGCTCTATGCGGCGCTCCCACCCCTCACCCCTGTACGCCTTGATGGCTGCCGACAGCTCATCCTTGACCCGATTTAGACGTGTCTTCACTCGTGGGCAGCTGGTGCGTGCCCACAGCTTCCTGAGCTCCCTCTTCTCGTGCAGTCGATCGAGGAGCCTACGCGGGAGTGTGTCTTTTCGGTGCACCTGTGGCACCGCCTTGGTCGCCGCGCGCAATTCTTCCTGTATTTTACAGGTGATTTTGCACGCGGCCTGTTCCACGTCCTCCGCGGTTGAGATGGGTGCACCGAAACTGAAGTCGGACATAGCTCTCGAATAGGCCCCCCAATCGGTCCTGTACCTAGGGCCTCTGGGAGCCAGTGAGTCCGCAGCCAGACTCAGCACGATGAGCACAGGGAGGTGCTGCGTGTTCGCATCATACAGCACCTCTACCTGGACAGGGCATGGCACTTTGTGGCAGAGCACGATGTCCAGGACATCCGGAACTTGGTGTTCGTCGGTGGGTACGTGTGTGGGCTCGTCGGGGCCCAACACTTCGTAACCCGCCTCTTCTGCGTCCTCGTATAGACTCCTGCCAGCGGGGGACACGACTCGCGATCCCCACGATGGATGTTTTGCGTTGAAGTCCCCCGCTATAATGGCAGGAGTGTTGTCGGAAAAAATATTCCGGATGTCTCTGGCATTGAAGGGTGAGCTGGGTGGGCGATACGCAGCGAACATGCGTATCTCTTTCCCGCCCGCGTGGAGGCATACGCCTATGGAGCGCGTGCTTACGAAGCTACGCAGCTCCTCTTCGTCGTGTACTAGGTCCCGTCTTACCAGCACGGCCGTGCCTCTGTAGGCATAGCCGTGGTCGGGGGAGATCTCATCCCGTCTGTACACGACGAAGTTTGATAGGCGGAACGGCTGACTCGGACGGAGTTTGGTCTCTCCCAGCAGCACAATCTGGATGTTGTGCTGCTGAACCGCATGACTCTAAGAATGCTAGCTCCATTTACTTGAAGAATAATTAACCTTCAAGAAAGCCCTATCATTCTCAATAATGACGCAAACATTTATTTCATTTAATTCATTCATTCAAACTTATTTCATGTGGTAGGTTATATAATATGTAATTTGGTTAATATTTAATATTGTAAATATATTTTTTTCAATAAATTATGATCCAGCTATTTTGACTATTTCAGATTTTAATGAGGACGAGAAGGAATTGCCTGTACAAAAAAATATAGTCCTCACAAAAGATGACTTTGACACAAGCAGAGATGATGAAGATGAATTAATAGTGGAGGCTAGTATATTTCATTGGTTGGCATTTTATAACTGTTTCAATGGTAAAATATATTAAAAATACTATAAGTATGGTTTGTTGTCAAAGTTGACCATGAGAATATCAATTTAAAATAAATATTAATATTGTTATATTTAAAATCTCTGTAAGACTATAATGTTAAATATTAAATTCATATTGTTTAAAGGATGAAGACAATGAGTTCGAACATTTTCAAGATCCGGAGGAGTTTGAGGGCTTCCAGGAGACTACACCACAAAGTTCAGAGCAGCCAAAAATTACCATTTCTAAAGTATGTTGTATTTTAAACGGTTTTTTCAGCTATATGGAAATACGAAATAGGTGGCAAAATAAAACCATGTGGTAAAAATTTGGGTGTTAAATATCATCTATAACTCACTAGTGAAGTCTCACTTAGAATATATGATTGAAATAATGTATTGGCAGTCCCCACTTACTTAAAACCACTACAAGTAACTCAAAATAAAATCATCAAAGCACTATGTCATTACTATTACCTGACACCTACAACAATAATATATGAAAAAACACAATTATAATCTGAAACAACTATACATATACTACACTTGCATTCTAGTTAAAAAAATTAGTGAAAACACTATCCAAACAAACATAGCACTACAGAAAAAGGAAGTAACTCACAATTTTAGAAATAAAAATAAGCTCTAATTATCTTGCCCACATAAGAACTATGGAAAGAAAACTATCTTATTTGAGGGAGCAGTTGTTTAATAATTTACCCAATGACCTTAAAGAATGTAACAGTACAAATATATTCAAAAGTAAATTAAGAAAATATGTAATAGCAAGCTTACATTATACATTACATTCTATTTTAAATTAAAATATTAATATTGTAATGTATAATGTAATTAAATATTTTAAAAAAAAATCTAATTATTTGTTATATTGTAATATATATTTTTTTTTGTTTTTTATAATACATTACCCTTACTTTAGGATAACATTATCCTGTGTTGTAAGGACATTTTGCAAACATAAATTTCACGCGAACACCCAGATGCGAAACAACTTTCTGTGGGCCACATAAATAGTTGTCCCGTGTGGGAACCGAACCCACGACCCCCGACGCCGAAGCCAATACCTTGGCAACTGCGCCACGGAGTCATCTTAATTAATTTTTAATTTTAATACTGCCTAAAATTATTTTAATACTCTTTTAAAATGCATGTGCCAGAAGTGTAACCACAATATTTGATAAGGAATTATAAATTCTAATCTTATTTTAATAAAACTGTTATAAATTTAAATTGTTTATAGTGCTAATCTTTGCACTTAAGATTGAACATTAAAATATGTAGAAAAAGTGCGAAAAGATTGTCGCCGCTGTGGGAATCGAACCCACGTCTTCGGCATTCGCGGCCTGACGCTCTAGCCACTGAGCTAAACGGCTGATTACCACACCGACGAAAATCTTAACTCATTCCTCCACATTGTTTTCTTAGCATTTGAAGCAATGCTTGGCGCCATCTATTGTTATATCCTTTCCAGCATACAAACAACTTCGAATATCGTTTTACAACGATAATTCGAACGAGAGATGTCGCCATGCTCGATTACACATTACTAAATGAAACTATGTTTAGCCGTGACAGCTCAGTGTCCGGGCGCTCGTTTTTAATTAAATATAATCGAGCAACCTGAGGTTAATTCCCGGTGCCGGCACCTATTAAATTGTTAATTTTAAGTGCTGATTTATCATGTGCTCCGCGGTGAAGGAAAACATCGTGAGGAAACCTGCATATTTTCGAAATAATAACAAAAAAAATTGTATTTCGAAAATATGTGAAGTCCGCCAATCCGCAGTGGGGCCGCGTGGTGGACTATGCCCTGATACCCTCTCTATAGAGGAGGCCTTTGCCCAGCAGTGGGACATGTATAGGCTGTTACTTTACTTTTTTTTACTATGTTTACGGATTAATCGCGTTTTTTTTTGTTTTATTTCCCGACTTTTCGAACAGACCGTGTGTGCAGTGATCATAAACGCTGTAAGAGGAACGAAACGTCGGGAATTAAAATCAAAAATAAACGCGATAAGTCCGTAAACATAGTTTCATCCAATATGACATTTCAATTGCTTTGTTTGCTTTAGGTTCCTATAAATGCGCGTCCACGGTTGCAAGCATACTGGCTGGAGGGAATTCTCTGCTGTGGGTTAGCTGCATATGCTCTCGCATATACGATTGGCAGAGTGAAGAATTCCTCCATTGCTCTTAACTTCTTGAAGTTCCATAAACCATTGCTGGATGATAATTTCACTTTAGTTGGTGAGTTCTTTATATCACAATTCACAGATTCACAAGAATAGTAAAAGAGCCGGTGAATTATTTTGGGTAGTTATTTTAGGCACCATGAAAAAAATGTGCTATTGTATATTGAAGGTCATCTAAATGTTAAAGTGCAAAACTTGCACCACCCTTCAGTGGTGGGGCTTAATCAAATCTCGAATTTTTTTTACTAAATATGCCTCATATATTGAAAACAGACCTCAAGCAATTGTTCTTAATGGTTATATGTCCGATTGGTTATCCATCCCTTTTGGGACCGCTGCTCTTCGTAATATTTGTGAAGAACAAAGAAATATGTTTCAAACACTCCCAAATATTACTCTATGCGGATGGCATGAAAGTTTTAAAAATTTGCAAGATCCAAAGTTTCTGCAATTATATTAGATTCGAAGTATATTGTTATCGGAACAAGTTGGAGTTAAATGAAAATAAGTATAGAAGTGTTTTCTTATGTCGTTTACGAGGAAAAATACCACCACGGAAGGCAGGTATCTACTGAATGATACAGAAATTCACAGCATGTATGAGGCACACAATTTTGCAGTTACCCAAGATGATAAACTTGCCTATGATAAGCATATAGATTAAATAGTATCTAAAGTGTACAAAGCCGTGAGATTTATTATCCGTAGCACATTGGTTTTCATGTAATTCATAAACCTATCAGTTAATTAAAAAAAACTTAATATTATACTCTTAACCTTAGTTTAACATAGAAGCAGTAAAGTACTGCTCCTATGTAAGACCTGTATCCACAATACGAGAGCTATAAATCACGTAATGGAGTGTATTCAAAAATGATTTTTAAGACATCTAGATGACAAAGCACAATAATTATAGATGTAGGCAGTACCATTTTGTTCCAATATATGTTCGACGAAATGTGTGTGTGTGTGTGTGTGTTTATATTTAAAAATTGTATTAAAACATGCGCAGGGGAAGCAGATGCCAATGTTTCGATTGGCAACGATCGCGGCTGGAGACGTGAAGCCGAGCACTGCTTCACTATGTGGTGCAGCGGCCGGGTCTGTTGCGAGGGCATGCTGCTGACACTGAAACTTATTAAGGTATTTTCGTTTCCCAAACTTTTTTTTACCAACAACCGAAACCAAATTACTTCACTTTTTTATGTGAAAAATTGCCAAGCCAGCAGGTGGTTCACCTGTTGTTAAGTGAATACCGCCGCCCATGGACATCTGCTACACCTTTTGAAAATTGGGCTCCGGCTACCTCACTCACCAGACTACACGCGAACGTATTATACTTCGTATTAATATACACGTATTATTGTGGTACTTTTCCGGACGAGCCTGCCCATTCGTACAGCTGAGGCTGGCGTTGCCCTACCACTTGGAAAAAGTGGTGGACAATTTGACATTAGTTTCTTCTACAAAAACCGTCATATTATGCTAGTCTGTCCAATAGTTTATATTTTCTTATTTTTTCCTTGTTATTTTTTTAAAGTAGCCAATTTTCCTCTAACTGCAACACACGACATAAATATACGTAAAACCTCTTCAGCGCCAAGACTTGGTGCACATTCTTCTGGGCTTCGTTAGACCATCTCCGGACACTTTGCACATTCGCGTGGAACTTGGTAAGGACGACAGCGATCCGTTCGTGCTGTGCGTCGCTCAGAAGAAAATCGCCACGCGCCTCGCCAAAGAGATGCAGGACCTGGTGAGTTGTGGCGACTCGATTGTTTTTTTTTTTAATTGGAAAATTGGCGCTGGCGACTCTATTGTTTTTTTTTTTTAATTGGAGAATGTTGCCAGCACCCCCCGATTCAAATATCTTTCGCTGTATTTCGGTAGGAGTCGTATTTTTAAATGATATAATTTTTTTTGTGCTATTTGCACATCAGTGGAATATGGACGGAATGAAAATTTAAAAAAAGAAACATTCTTATTAAATAAAATATAATAGCATGAAAAATTAGTATCCTTTAAAAATTTCAATAGCAAAGGGTTTCAGGTTTTCAAATATTTTATTGTAAAATGTTATAAAAAAATAAAGTAAAGTAAGAGCCTATTCTGTATATTGGCCTTTGCCCAACAGTGGGACATGTATACTATGCCCTAATACTTTCTATACAGTGGGTATTAAGGCATAGTCCACCATGCGGCCCCACAGCGGATTGGCGGACGTCACATATCTTCGAAATATTTTTTTTGTTATTATTTCGAAAATATACAGGTTCCCTCATATTATTAATATAATAAAATTAAACTAAGTTTTATATTAATAATATTTTAAAATGAACAATTTCATTGGTGCCTGCACAGGAGGTCGTACTCAGGTTGCTCGAGTGTATTGAATTAAAGGCGAGCGCCCGGACAATGAGCTATTGTACTTAGTGCCGATAGTAGCAATGCTTCTCTGTGTTGTTGTCAAATTGTGACTAGTCATACAGATTCGAGTGAAGGTGTCATGGGATCTGCTCATGCTAACACCACGCTCGCCTTCGACCATGACGTGTACAATGACGTAACCGCGCCATCGCTATTCTGTTCGAGCCGATATCAGGCCACATTTCCCTGGGGGGACGGCGCGTCCCCTGAGACAATGGCGTGGGGTTCAAATCGCCGAAACCCGTGCGCTTGCCAGACTGTTAGGGTAGTGTGGGTGACTCGTGTGCTCGTTCAAAACAACCAGGCTAAAAACACTCGCTTGCCCGCCTCACTCCCGATAGTAAAAGCTAGAATCATCAGTGTCGTCGCCAAATTGTCGCAGAGCGTGTTCTGCCCCGAGAGGCGCGCCGGCGACAAGCACTCGCTGCCCCCCTCACTGAGCGTCCTCTCCGAGTGCGCTGAGGCGACGGGGGCGCTGCTGGACGCGCGCGTCTGCGGCGCCCTCGCCCAGTACCACAAGCACGTGCAGTACATACACGTCTCCGACCGCTACTGCGGCCCCAAGCAGATGGAGTGAGTACTGAAGGCGACATTAGATACATTTACCCGTCGAATTTTCGCTCTCGCGAAATTTTAGCCCCTCGATCCTTTGCTTTGAGTACAGTCAGCCGCTCGTGTCTTGTTTATTACGTACACGATAATATAATTGTACGCAAAAGCTTAGAATACAGTTGAAACTTCGGTCTCACGAAATTTTAGTCCTGCTACTGTAACTTAAACTTGACTCGATCCTTTGCTTAGAGTACAGTCAGCCGCTTAAATATTACCCTTATTTACAAACAAAAAACATTTATGCAGCTGACTGTACTGTAATAGAATATACAGCGTGTCGTTACAACCGCGACAGTATATGAACACACGTCTAACGCTACTCGTCAATAATCATAAAAGAATAGAAACGTAAAAAATCCATAATTAAAAAAAATATTTTTCAAACAAACTAATTAAGTAAAAGAGAAACAAAATTTGTAACTGATTCATACATTCAGACACTTTTTCATTCGTTGCCACAGCGTCGCATTCCAAGCCTCTCCTAACAGTAGGTTTTGTCTCGTTGAAATTCATTCAACTCATTCATATGCTTTGTGACCTTTACAAATGAACTTTACGTTACAGTTTTATGCGTTAGGGTGTTCTAAAATTGTTTGTTTTGGAAAATTTAATAACTGTGTAAATATTGATGTTTAAAGAATGTAAATGTTTAATATAATTTTAAAAATTTATCCTCTATATGTGACGACACGCTGTATAGTGGTTGTACCTATCTTACACTGTATATAACTGAAATTTCGTAAGTGAAAAAAGGTGAAAAATGAAACAAAAAATATAATGAATGTATTCGGGCCACAATTTCAATTTACACTACCAGCGGTTAAACTAATACTCTCGCTTCCCCTTGGAGACTTAGGTTGCTTGAGTCTCAACTCCTTTTTAAACTCAAATTCTATTTAAATTATTCCGCCAGGGAGACGGCCACCACCAAGCCACCGGAAACTGAGCGGGTGATGCTAGTCAGCCTGGCGTTGGGTCCAAACGGCGGCGGCGAGGAGTTGAGGCCCCTGCTCCAGCTGGTCTTCTACTTGCTCGACAAAATCAAACGTTTGAGGCTGAGTAAAGAGGTAATATTTTGCTTAATAATAATTATCATAGTAAAGTCAAGTACAATACATACTAAATTGTCATTTGGTTTTATAATTTTTTTTATATTCTTTCATGAATGAACTTAATAATCCTTATTCCTTACTATATCCCTACTAATATTATAAATGTGAATGTAAGTTTGTTTGTTATGCTTTCATGCCAAAACTACTCAACCGATTATCATGAAACTTTCTACATATTCTTAGAGATATTAAAAAGGATATAGGATTCTTTCTATTTAAAAAGCTTTTAAGGGCTTCAGCGCGAGCGAAGCCGCGGGCACAGCTAGTTATATTGTAAACACGATAGTTTGTATGTATGGATGTTAATCACACTTTCACGCAAAAGCTACTAAATAGATTAACTTTACAATAATATAGCTTTTACATCAGAGTAACGTAGGCTATACATATACATATTTAAAATTTTATTGCGTCAATATTTAATTCCCTATTCACTCTATTTACCTATGTCTATTTATTATGATGGCGAGCTATGTTATATTATTATTGTATTCTATGGCGTAATTGCCAAGGTATTGGCTTCAGCACCGGGAGTCGTGGGTTCGATTCCCACACTAGACAACTATTCGTCTGACTGATCCACAGATAACTGTTTCGGATCCAAGTGTGTTGACGCGAAATTTATGTATGTAAAAACGTCCTTACAAAATAGGATATTGTTATCCTACATTAAGGGTAGACAATAGATTTTCTAGGTTGCAGTGATCATTGGGACTTGCTACCCAACCCATTCCACACAAAATACAAATGGCTTCTAACACACAATCAACCGGCAGGCGCTTGCCAAGTGCGAGAAACGCCGCCAGAAGGTGGCTGAGGCGTGGATGCGCGGGGCTCACGCGGCCCGTCAAGAGCAGGCCGCTCAGCGGCGGGAGGAGAAGCGAAAACAAGAGAAAGAGCGCATACTGGCGGTAAATGGCAAATCCAAATATGTTTATTCAATTTAGAAGCATTAGAAATACATACTGCTGTTCAATGACAAATATAAATTCAAATATCTCTTTATTCAACATAGAAGTATTACTCTTACTCATTGATTGTCTTAATTCTACTACCGGTTCTGAAAAGAAAAGCCAAAGACCTGAGAAGAAACGCCGTAAGAAACTCAGCGGAACAATTTTTATTTTACCATTATTTGACAGTGAAAACATGTTTACAATATATTAAAGTCAACTTGAAATTGCCTGGAGCGATCAATTCATTTCCATGGTGGGTTAACATTTAATAATCATCAATATTATAATAGATTTTAGCAGAAAAACTTTCCATTTAATTTCTTTGAATTAAGCAATAGATACATTTTAAATCTTTTCTGGGATTTTGTTGTAAAAATGAATACATTGTTCCATTAAAGAATGACTTATTCTATGCACTCAGTTGTGGGTAGAATTAATGTCTCTTCCTACTTTGCCACTTCTATTCATTTAGAGTAAATAACAAAGAAAATTGTGTCCTTGTTGTGTTATGCCCTGACAGGAATGAGTTTTATACCTTCTCGACGAAAGAGTTGCACCCACCTAAATGTCACGGACAATAGGGTATAGGTAGGTAAATCATCTAGTTACATGTCAAAATTTTAGAGTCCTATTAATGATACGAAAAATAATTAGCAATTTCTGCATTATCTTTTTGCCACAAAACTTTTTCCCGATTTGATATTTCATTTATATTTCAGGAGGATGACCCCGAGAAGCAGCGACGTTGGGAGCTAAAGGAGCAAAAACGTCAGCAAAAACGCAAGACGCCAAAAATGAAGCAGTTGAAAGTGAAAGCGCTCTGACCTACTCAGATTTCGATGTCCGCAATGCAATATTATTTAAATATTTTTCCTCTGTTATTTAACTTTAAGTGATAATTATACTCAAACCGCGGCGAATAAACGATTTAAAAAACCTGAATGGATTATCTTGTTTAGTCTTTCATCCCCAGACTTATTTTATAAGTCAAAAATTAAAAATAAGAAATAACAATCACTTTTTTTTAATCTTACTTGAGCTTGATAAACAGGGAATGCTTGGGCTTTTGATATGCAGCAGAAATAACATTTGATTCTTATCATTAAACTTTAGGAATTTGTGATTTAATTTATTTAGATAAGTTTCATTCCCTTTAATATTAATCTGGACAAATCATCCAAAAATGAAATACCTATTGTTTACAAGTTTCATTAATGATTGTAACTTTTATACAATTTTATGCTTCATTTTTAATTAAAAAATAAAATGTTTATGAAACTGATGGCTGATAGTATTTTAGGCAAGTTTGCCTAAAATACTATCAGCCATCTGTCAGTTGACAGATATAAAATGTGATTTCTTATTATTGTTACTGATGTGAATAAAAAATGATAAAACAATTTGAAACAAAAAAAAAAAGAAAAAACATATTATCTTGATGAGATATGCCCGAATGTAGAAGAACAAAAAGGACTGTAAATGACAACTTTAAAATCCATAATCATCGCCTAATTTGTCATAATTGGCGCTAATACGAGTGTTTGTTCAGATTGTGTATTTGTGCTATTTACTGTGAAAACTTTACTTAAGTTTTTAAAAACTTTAAACTTTACTTAACTTTTCACATAAACAATTTTTGAAAGGTTTACATCCTAGACTTACCTTCACTGTAGTGACACATATTATGATTATAACCTATAAATGTGGTCTATTATGGTATAAATTTGTTACATTGCTCTTAAATTTTTTTCCTACTCCAATGCACTGTTTCTTAGATACTGATCATTGTAGAAGTTAACTAATCAGCTGTCAAATGGCTTTTCAAATGTTATTTGAGTTGCCAAAAGGATTGTTAAACTCTGAATTGATCATTAAGAAGATAATTCTGATCTATTCAGAGAATTTAACAATCCTTTTGGCAACTCAAATAATGTTTGAATGAACTTCGACAATGATCAGTGTTTCAGAAACCAGGTGTTAATATGTAAGAACCCTAAAATGCTTAATCTACCTATTGACTATTCTTTCAATCTATGTTATACCATTTACTATTAATTAATTACCAGAAAATACTCAAAATTAAGTTTTACAACCTTCCTTTAAAAAAAATCTTTTCAGTGCTACTAATGTGTAACGGAACCATCATCCTATTTAGATTGAGGTATTTTTAACTAACCAATATAAATTTTTGTGTAAATTCAGACAAACATTTGTTAGTATTTTGAAAAAAGTTTTGTAATTTTTTTTTCATTTTTTAAGTATATATTTATTATATCCTTATATATGTAAATGATTCAGAGACATTATAAATGGTGAATAAGCTGAGATAGATTTAAACTTGAAAAATTTTCTAAGCATTGTTTTTATTTTAAATATTTATTATTAAAACAGAAAAATAACAAAATATGTTAACAAACATAAGTAACTATCTCTAAGACACAAAAGCAAAAAAATTTACGAGACAAATTTGAATGTACATATTTTAACTTTGCTGATTTTTCATTACATTTCATAAGAAAGGGAGATCCAAATGCACTTAAAATGTACAAAACTATTAAAACAATATATGAAATGTAATGACATTTTCCAAAAAGCTTAAACAATAATTAATATTCTAAAATTTAAAATATCTTCAACTCAGCAAATGCAGCTGCAACCTAAGGAAAATAATATATTTGTTCTCTGTGATCACAAAGGTGGTATTAATTTTAGGTAACCATATAAATAATCAAACTCCTAGATGTAAGTAACAATAAAAAACATTTAGTCCACCCAGAACACTGAAAACATTAGAAATTACTTATATTAATTTATATAGTGGAGGAAATTTTGAGCAAATGACATGTGATTTTGAAATGAATGAAATGATTGTAAATCAATTGAGAATTCAATACCTATATTTTAAGGGTATTGTACTCATATCAACTAATTATATTGAGGAGCTAGGAACATTTATAATGATTTTGCCGACATAATGTTCATTGGTGTGAATACACTAAACAATACAACATCCAGGCAAATCCCTGAACACTATCGGCCCCCAATGTCTAACCCATTCGACACTATGGTGTCATTTCACTAGGATTGGAGGTACTAGAATTAATATTGTTGTGTCATTCATCAACTTGCAGCTTTTGAATCCTTGTAGACACACAATCCATTTCAGGCGATATCTCGGTGGTTGACGGCGGATCAACGGATAAGTTGAGGTTTTCAAGAGACTGGCAACGCTTTGCTGGACTTTTAGGATCAAAGGTGTTAACACCGCTGGTGGATGGTTCCAGCAGACTGTTCTTAGGCTCGCAACCACTGTCACTTACTTCACTGAACGCATCAGAATTCTCACTTTTGGTTCTATGTCTGACAGGTAATAGATATGGACACAATCTGTTTTTGTTTGCGGCTCTTTTCATGCAATAGCCTACTGTGACATTGGAAACATAGCGCGTGTTTAAACGCATCACGCCGAAGTTAGATTTAGATTCCCTTAAATACTCGCGGCGTGCTTCTGTTATGGCACTTAACATACCCAAGTCATGCAGCGCCTTATCCAAGTTATTTAAATTCATGTGATGGCGAGGAACCTGTAAACAACGTAATTCTTGAAAGTGACAAAATTTAAACGCCAAAATTACAACTATGAGCAGTTACGGTAATACATACACTTTTTTCGAATTCATTACATTTCATCATGAATAAAATCAAGCGAAGTTTTATAAAATTGCCAAAAACCGTGTGAAAATAAACATCACAAAAAAGTCATAATACGAAGTGACAAATGAGAATGTGAATTGCCATATAAAAGTATGACAACAAAATTGAAAGTATTTTCCAATGTAAAACATAAATAATACACGACTATAAATTACTTCTTAAAATAAATGGTTATTACTTATAAAGGCATAGAACATATTATGTAATGCTTAAAAATGTCTATTTAACTTTGACGATCATACAGTATTAAAATAAAATTCCTAATTTTTGAAAATGTAACAATGTATATTATTAATGAATAATTTTTAAATACACATTTTGAGTCGTTGTCATTATTTTTCACTACCTAGCGGTAGCCTTTTGTAGGACAAAGTCTCTCTCAATTATTCCACAGATGTAAATCAATAAGCTTGTATTTGTAGTTTGTTGGTTTTTGGGTCGTAAGTACTATAGATCACTGCGATCTAGAGGATATATTGTAGTCTTTCCTTTTAAAATATTACCGTAAGATAAAATTATCCGGTGTTGTAAGCAGCGCCGGATTAAGCAAGCGCGGGTCCCGTAGTAAATTCAATACTCAATACGATTATTTGCCATCTGTAGGTTACAATTTTGTAGGCAATTAATAGTCTAGTATAAGGATGAGCAACGCGCGGCCCGCAGGCCGCTTGCGGCCCATTAAACATGTTTATGGGGCCCGCCAAGCATTTCTAAAATTGAATTTATTTTATCGAATTTCTCCCAACAATATAGTGTTATAAAATTAATTATAATAAAATGGTAGTACATTCTGAACCGAAATATTTTTAAATTTAAATTGGCCCATTGATTAAAAAGGTTGCTCACCCCTGGTCTAGTATATAACTAAGGGTTCTGCTAGGCACTGACAGGTACAAAAAGCCAGAGAAGCGATTGCTTGGTAATTTAGTATTTTGATAAGAAACCAACAATTGGAAACTGATAGTGATATACAAAAAATTTTTTTCAAAATATATTTCAAGGAAAGTCAATATACCACATCTTAATAAGTTTCACTTAAAAATTACGCTCAAGCAGAGACGGGTTTAAATATGGCCGGGGCCCTATTTCACGCGGACCTGGTAGCAATTTTTATTCTTGCAGGTTGGTTAATCAGGAACTGGTTCTAAGGTTAACGTTTTACATACATTTTCACGTGGACAAACACCCAGATCCTATACAATTATCTGTGGCTCACACAAATAAGCCGAAGTCAATACCTTGGCAAGCGCGACAATCAAATAAATAATGCACAAATTACTATTTATTTATATACATTTAAAAATTATTATCATAGTAACCTATTACGTTGTATTCCTGGCATTAAATTAAACCTAAACAATTAAAGCGTATTGAAATAAAAAAAATGTAATTGACATATTTGTATAAACTGAGATTTTGACGTTTACTATTACATAATTTCAAATTATGGCAGAGATATTAAAAGAATGGCTTTCAGAAGTATTAGAAAAGCCAATCAATTGGGAGGCGGAAGAATTTGGATCTATGATGAAGAATGGGCATCTTATAGCAACTATCTTGCGGACGTATCACGTTATAAACGAGGAAAAACATTATCTCATTAGAGCTAGCAATGAAAAGGAAGATATAAAAAATAATTGGAAATATTTAGTAGAATGGTTAAAAGACATAGAAGTGAACTTAAGTGAAGCAGACATGATTAATATTATGGACGGTAGGGGTTCATCGTTACTTCGTTTATTCTATCAACTTTTTCTTCACTTAGATAGACGTGATCGTACTAATTTTATTAAACGTGAACAAAAAATGGTATCTTCATTAGTACAAAAAATAGAAAATAGATTTAAAATTGATAAGGTTTTAGAAGAACAGGAGCCATTTGTAGACAATCTCTCCAAACCATTATTAGATGAAAGACAGTTTATAGAATGGCAGAAGCAGAAAGCTAAACAGGTAAAAGAATCATATGATTATTTACGCCATAAATATTCAAAGATGATGGCAAAGATAGAAAAATCTAAAATCCCAACATCATATACCAAAGGTTTATTAAAGTCTTGCGAAAAAGATAAAAAAGAAGTAGAAAAGTTCGAACAAAGATATCCATGTAAATTTCATAATTATACATACGAAGAGTTATCAGCACTTGAAGAAAAAGCCATACAAAGGAAGAAAACATTTGTTGATTCTGAATGGGCTTGTGAATATATGAAAAACATTTCTCAAAAAGTACGAAAAAGATCAGACTCAGAAGAATTTCAAAGGCAAATAGGAAGTGGCCTCAGTAATTCCTTATGGAATGCATGTGTTACTGAAGAAGAAAATAAAGTTGACATGGACCTTGCCAAAAAGGTTATGAAATTGTCGCAATTCGAGAAACAGATGTGTACACAAATTATGGAAACAAAACAACAGGCAAGAAATTTAACAAGAAACAGGATACAAGGGGAAAAGGAATACTCTGAACAAAGGGAGCAGCAGTTAAACATCTTTTTTGATAATCTTCACGATAAAATTACTTCAGGTGAAATGGAAATCGATTTTGAACAAAGAAGGCAAAATGACTTGCACCGGAAACTATATGCTGAGAAAATGCAAAGAAAGAGACAGATTTATTATGATCTCTGCTATGAAACTATTTTAGCAATTGTCGATTATGCCACTAAATTTGGATTTTTCAAGAATCTACTAGACGCTGAGGTACCCGCACATTATTTACAAGAATGGAAATCTTTATTTTTTAAACAGCAACCGATTTTTGATGTTTTTACTCCAACGGAAAAGGTTCTACAAGAAATAGAAGAATCATCCTCTTTATTAAAAATGGAAGAGGTATTAAGCGTTGAACGTGATCGACAAGAAGTGCTTAATGATTGTGAATTTGGAGAATATCTCGATTATTTAATCCCGTGGAATTTAGAAATCTTAATACCAAATTACGATGCCGAAGCAGAAGAAAGGAGAATTGAAAATTTGGGAAAACGTATATTAGGACATGTGATATATACACTGTTAGAATTGAAGTATCCATTTCCTACCATAAGGCTGCCTGCTGAACTTCCTAAATTCACAGCTAAAGCAATTCTGCGCGGTCTTCCGGATAAGTCATTAACTCAGGTTATACAAGTTTTATTAAAACATCGTAAAATCCTCGTTGTACGTCTTGAAACAGTTATCAACTATTGCTTGAGGCAATACAAATTCGAAATGATTGGAAGGAAAGATATTGATTTGGAATTTGATAATTATGTTGCTGTTGCAACAGAAGAAGAAACAAAGGAGTTAATTAAATCAATGAAATCGGAAGATGAGATGGTTGCAAAAAGTCGTGAATTCAATGCCTCAGATCTTTTAGTTTCAACCCTGCCTAATACGAAACAGACTCAAACGCCAAAATCGCTACCTGAAGATGAAATGACCATGTCTGCAGCTGCAAGTTTAGGTAATTATGCCTATGATGCTCTTTCATCGGGCGAGTCATTGACTGATTATTTATTAGCTGCAATGATCGTAGAATATCTTAAACATCAAAATGACATTAATGGTTTTGTTATTATAAATTATCCCAACAACTATCAACAAGCACAAATATTAGAAGAATTTTTTACTGGATTTGGACCACCTAATGTTGAAAAATTGGATGATAATGATGATATACTTTTAGAAGAAAGTATATTAAAACATCGTAAGCTAGAGACAGATCCTTATAAGGAGTTGAGAGTTTCAAGAATAGTTAAAGATCCGCACATTAGAAAGATGGAAAAACCATTTGAAACTTATTTCACTTCATATATCAATCTTAAACATACTAGTAATATTTTACAGGAACTAGTTGTTTGGGAATATACGCAGGATAATTCCGATTTCTGTGATAGATTTTATGCAGTCATGGGCATAAATTATAGTATATATTATGAGACAGTAGACAAAGACTTACTAGCGCAAATTTGCAAATATATTATCGGGGATTTCAGTTTTCCACTAAAAAGCTATGATGAGTTATTTGGTGAAAAAGTGTTAAGTGAACTCGATTTTCCCAATTCTGATGCAAAACGGTTAAATTCGAAAATTGTTAAACCGGATGTTGCTAATGGGAAATCGAAAGAGAAATTGCGTAGAAAGTCTAAAACTAGTAAGACTACAATTGACACGGAACTAGAAGTAATAAAAGCACCACTTTCATTTGGTGACGTGCGCCAAGACAATATAAAAACTCTAGAAAGTATGATAGCTCAGGAGAATAATAGTAAATCTTCACTTAGTATCGAGCCTGTAAAAGTTTTAGCCGGAGCTGAGGATTGGATATACGGAGACTTACCTATTCCTGAAACAATAGGGATCTCTGTAGCTAGTTATTGGGAGGAATTTGAAAAATCATACGTTCAAAAAATGCGGCAGTTGTTTTTTTCTAAGCGTTTACAGATGAATTATGTCGTTTCGTACACACGATTTTTAAAAGATAAAATGAAACAAGTGATAAAACTACCATCACATAAACAGGTTTTGGTTAGTGAATTCCAAAATGAATATAATAATTTTGAAAACGATTGGCGAGGTGTTAATATAGTAAAAAATGAATGGCACTGTCGAGTAAAAGAATTACAAAATAAACTTTACAAAATCTGTGATGAAAGAAAAATATTTGCGCAACAAAAGAGATATGCATTAATTTGTGATAATTGGACTTTAGAGGAGCTTACTATATTAGCTAATACATATATTTCTTGTATGCAAATGGAATTAAACAGGTACGTTATCTATTTATCTATCAGATAAAATGATATGGGAAGAATTTTTTTTTATTTTTCAATAAAGTTCTTATAAAAGCATCTTCGAAGTCTTTTAAAAGTTATTTCTCGCAGTTTCGAAAGGTTCGTTCGGTGAAAGTTTTGGCCAACATGGTGTGTTTTTTGAGGGTTGGAAATAGTTGATGTACATAATATCACTAAAAAATTTGTTAAACTTATACAACATTCATA